TTATACTTAATTAAAATACATTATAAATGTCAATAAATTATTTATATGTAACAATTGATATTTGTTAATCAATATTTGAAATTAAAATCTTATCGTTTTGTGTCTGGAAAAAGTCATGATGTTTCGGAATATCCCATGTATTCTCATGTAACACAGCGTTATTTATATTAGGGGCGTATTCTCTTTGTCAAACGTAATCACTTGATGGTCGAGTTATACGTGACTAAAATACATAATATATTACGATGATAACTATTTATAGTTAACAATCTACATATTTGGACAGAAGTAAAAAAATAAAATATATATTTTGTTCTCTGTTCTCCATGATATAATATCACCATCCATCCACTTTACATATATATATATGAAGTAAATAAAAAAAAATATATATCAGCATTTAAAATTTATTTATTAAAATCTACATAATATTATAAAAGCAAATATAAAGTTAGAAATATGTAAAAAGATTATATAAAAGTGTTATTAAGATTCTATCGTTGCTTATTTGCAATATCGTAAGATATATACTCATCTTAAAGCATACATCATCATTATTACATTTTATTCATTTATATACAGGGAGTGCCGAAAATAAGGCAATGAGAAGTTGCATTTGTTCGTAAGATTTTCTTTGTGGTGTAATTTTTAAAAGATCTTCGTTACTCAAAAAACAAGAAACATAAATAAATAAATAACACCAAAAACAACTTATACTACATCTTGTTACCGATAATTATTTTATATTATATATTAGAAAGTATATTAAAATAAATCTTTAAACAAGTAAACCTGAAATCTAAATATTATAAAGTATAATATTTAAAAGCTATCGTGGCCTAAATGTTACCATGCAAACGAATTTTATTTTAATGTTGTTCAAGAAACTTGGATAATATTAAATATTGATTTCTTTTTTATGTATACCAGATGCAGAAGTTACTTGCAGTTAATTTTTTGTTTTGCTTTTTTATTGGCTTTTGCGATAGCTTTTAAAGATTAAACTATATACCGATTAAATTTAAGTACATTTTTCATATGTGCAGAAATATAAACCATCGCTTTTGTTGAGAATATAATTACGTTAAACCATTATAAAATGAGAATGTTAAGTATATATTCAATGCTTATTTTTCAGCGCTTTTATGAAGTCCAATTACACCTAATCTAAACTTTCCTGACACCCTGTATATTATCTACCATTGTTAATACTTGTTATATTTTAAAATTTAAAGTAAAGGCTACTTCAAAAAAAGTAAGAAAACAATGATTATTGCCATTCCAAATATAGAAAAATAATTTAAGAGATTACTTGTATTAAGAAATAATAAAGAAAAAAGAAACTATTACACTTTTTATTACGTACACTACGAATGCTACTAAAATATCCGGCATAAAATTACACAAAATATATACAAAATTGATTGTATTAAAAGTTAAGATATATTAATATATTAGATATGTACTACTTCTCTACAATATTATTATTATTTGTTTTAGAATCGGTAAAAGTCACAATATGTTTATATATCTTCTATGCATATATATATATATATATATATATATATGCAATTAAGATAAAAATTGGATAAATAAATTATTGTTTTTTCTTCTTCTTCTGATCGTAATGTGCACGAGTAAACAGTTTTGTTTATAATGTATATCTCTCTATTAACTCTCTATTAACAAATCTGTCGCAAACAAGGTACTAACGTGAAATATTAATTTCTTACTTTGGCACATACCAAAGTTATTAATTAACATAAGGCATAATGCCTAAAAAGTACTATTCAAAGAGTTATCACTTAAAAATTTCATTTTAATTATCTTAATATTATTGCCAAAATTTTTCATGTCATATCAATCATTTAGAAGATAGATATTAACTCTATCAAACATGTCCCAATATATATATATATATATATTTTAATAACGCATTTGTAACTAGAGATTTTTAATAATTTATGCGTTTATATGAAAATTTGTTCTATTCAGATCACATACTTTTATTAATCGAGCAAGCAGAATAGAATAATAGTAGTAACTGGAATTTAAAGATTTCTTTTATACCGTACTAGATTCTGCACAATACACTTTGCAGTATTTTAAAAACATCTAAAAAGTAATAATCAACAATCGAGGTATTTTTCAATTCACTCTCCGTCCCATATTGTTACTCTGTAAATTTTACTTCAATAATCATCTTTTCGATAAAATTTGTTGCTATACCCTTCATGCAAAATGACTATCTTTTATAACATCTACCTTCGTAACGATTACTTTATTATATCATCAGTTTATACTGATATAAAGTCCTACAAAACTTTATTAATTATATGTACCACTACCGTGACATTATTATAAACTTTTGCTCTGGAATGTTAATTTGTACTACCAACATTCATATTACCAACGTATTGTACTTCTCTTAACATTGTGTATACAGAACTCAACTTGTGTATATTCTCTGCATACACAAATAAGAGGGCATGCACATGTATATATGTATTAGGCTTCGTGTCATTTATATAATAATTCGTCTCGATATTTCAATAGTAAGTATCTAAATGTATCTAATATATTATCTAAGTAAAAATGTCGAATATCAGGCCCCCGGGATTATATTAAGTTTCTTAAAATCTATCCAAAATAGTAATACTAACTGCTGCAAGTAGCCACTTTGATAATGAACATTGATTTGCAGTTGCCCACTGAAGTCCTGGGTAGTTAATATTTGGCATAGAAATTTCTATAAAAATATACATTGTTTGGGATTAATATATTATGAATAAATAATTAAATGAACGTAAATAATAACAATAATGAACATTCGCATATAATCTACTTCAAATATCAAACAGATAGAGTTCCAAACAACATACCTCATCAGTATGGTAATAACTAAAATAAGGACTATCAAGGGTCCTGAAGAAACTGGAGTCGCACCAGTTCCAAAATGCACTTGAGCACAAGCTGGTGGACAAACTGGGGTAAAGGTTTCTGCACAAAAATAAGCAAACATAAAAAAAACATGCACTTGGCTAAAGAAACTGTTGCAATAGAAATAAATTGATAAATTATGGCTACGTGAAAATATTGCTATGTAATGTATTATTATAATAAGCACAATTTGTTAAGAAAAAAAAAATATATATTGTAATATTTACTACTGCTAACACGTGCTTTATATAAAAAAAATATGCTAAGGTACTGTACAACAGGATAACAAATGTAAAGTTAATAAATTATTATATACTTACCAAAAAGCTCAACTTTAGTTTCTGCAGTTCCTAACTTGTTAGAAGCACGACATGTGTATTCTCCATATTGTTTCTTTTCTATTGTTATTATTCGAATTGTAGTATCACTATATTCATCTGCAGTTGCAAAATGAGATATACTCTGATGCTGATTGTTTACCAATATGGTGCCATCTTTTAACCAAACTATTGCAGGTGGAGGATAAGCTTCTACGTGACATTCTAAATCCATGTCATACTGTAAAGCTTGACCTAAACGTGGTCTAGGTGCTGTTATTACAGGAGCAAATTCAACTTCAACATTAATATTACGTCTTGCGCCACGTCCTACACCATTTTCAGCAATACAATAATATGTTCCCCGATCTTCCTTGCGAATGTTATTTATTTTGAGTACATTTCCACTAGAATATTTATAGTTTTATTATTTAAGTCTATCTTAATAATAATGCTTATATTAATAGTACATAAATTTATATATACCGATAAATTGATCCACCCGTTGGTAAAATAGCATTGTTTTCTCTACGCCATGAAATTCTTGGTTCTGGAAATCCTCCTGCATGACATTTTAATTTTACTTCCGATTGTCCTTCGCTAACGACAATAGACCGAGTAGAATTGTCACTAATAATAGGTGGTCTTCGTACTTTCAATTCTACTTCTGCAGATAATCGATTATTAATAGCAATCAAAACTTGGCATGAATAAAATCCTGCATCTGTTTCTTGTATGTCCTTTATCTATAATAATAATATTTAATAATAAATAATCAAGCTAATGCAATCTAATAAAATAAATCTTATTTATAACATTACCTGTAAAGTATACGTAGAAGATGCTTGATCATATCTAAGAGCAAACCTACTATCTTTTACAATTAAGGCACTATTTGTAGAAAGTGGTAATGGATCATATCCACTCTCTTTATTTGTTTTCATCCATAATACTGGATATTCTTGACCGTATTGCACTGAGCAAAGTAATTCAACAGTTCCACCAATATCCTTAATTTGTTCTTGTGAAATATAAGAAATTGTTGGTGAACGTTGACATGTTGCTAAAACATTGAAATTGGAATTATACTCAACTAAATTACCTTAATTGTACTAAAACAAAATTATTATAAATATGTGTAAATATATATATATATATGTATATATGTATATTTATATGTATATAATAAATTCAATACACCAAAATTTCATTGAAAAATTAAATAATATAGAAATTATGTAAAAAGAATTGATTAGTAATTTACCTAACTGTATTATTGCAACAGTAAGAATTAGTATAATTTTCACCATGATTCACCAAACAATACTTAAACGGCAGTTGAATATTTTTCACTTTATTTCAAAACTAACTTCGTTAAGTTCGCTAAGACAAAGAACTTTTTCAATATTCTTAAAGTTCTAAAAAGTAATTTATTAAACAAACTTATTTTTCAAAAATCGATTACATTAATGTTTTCTGATGAATGAACACAGAATCACCGTTTGACGATAAGAGGGCGATGCTCACAGGAACGTAGCTTGTATGCTCACAGGTGTCTGTTGATCGACAATAAACATGGCGCATGATGCTACATCGTTAGTTAAAAAAGAAACTTTATTTTTATAACTTAGTTTTATTTTCATTCTTTTAATTCAGAAATTTATTATTATAAAAAAAGAAAAAAATTAAACAATATTAAAAATAATATCTATCTTAGTTTAAATAAATCTATTAAAGAGTATACTTACCCGATATTAAGAACAATTATTTCGGAAGTTGTATGACGACACTATATCATTCTTTCGCCCACTTTTCAAAATTTATCGTAAATTTAAATTTATTATTAAATAATATATACATGTGTTTAAGTAGTATATAAGTTTCTTTTAAATAGGTTTTCAAATGAAAAATGTCGCATAAATTCAGTAATATGGCAGTTTTGAATGATATGAATAATTCTTTCTATGTTTCATTTACTTGCTTGCCCTGATTTGCTTTTTTTTTACATATATGATATAATTAAAATAAAAAATCTTATGCAAAAATAATATTACAATTCAGCGAAAGGTAATTCATTGAACGAACAAAGTAAATCATCATTTATATCATAATTACTATTTTCATTATTATGTTTATCGTCAACTGTCTTAAAATCTTGAGGAATAAAAATTTTATCTTCGCTTTGATATAGTATATCACTCTCTGAAAAAGTTTGCATATTTGTCCACCTTAACGCAACTTCTTTGTAAATGCATTTTCTAAATATCAAGCAATGTATGTGTCTCAATTTTTCATATTTAATTCTCATAAAACCCAACTTGGATAAAACGTATCTCCATGATTTGATCAATTTAGCATTTGCACCAATGTGTTTAGAATCAGGACTGATAATAAATAATATACCATTATTCTTTAATAAATTATATGCTTTGCTACAACAAAGATATCTTTGTTTTGGACATGGCATATATTCTAGCAATAAAGAAAATACAACAACATCGAATGACTGTTCAGGTAATTGTAAAATTTGTTTTTTATCTGAAGAAAAGATTTGTTCTCTTCCTATATCGACACTTAAAAAATCACATTGGAAAACGTTAGGTGGAACAGCTACCAAATCTATAGCTGTTACTTTAAACATATTTTCCATCTCAAAAGGATTGTAACAACTTCCTACATCTAATATAGAAATCTTTTGAAATGTTTCCTCCGTTTCATTTAACAATTTCTTATCAATATAATGATTCTGTTCGGAAGTCAAGAAAGTTTGTTCCTTCTTATTAATACTATCTATCGCAGATAATTCTCCCATTTTTCCTTTAATACTAAACTCTCTAATTGAATATTTTTCTTTGCCACCTTTGAAAAAATATTCTTTACATTGAGATTTGATCCATTCTATCCTGCAATAAGTTCCGCTCAAAGAATCCATATTATTGCCTTTCCAATGAGTTGTTGCAAGATCTTTCATCGACATAACATATTTCTAAAAATAAATTCAATCAAATATAAACAATATCATAAAATATATTTAATTTTAATAAAATCTTAAAACAAGTGTGTATATAAATATAATAATAATAATAATTCTTTTTATATCTAATAAAGATATCACGTGTCTCCATACACACGACATACATATATATATATATACACATACGTTAAGATAATATTATTAAAGAAAAAAATATAATGTTAATAATCCCACCTGTAAAACGTCGTTACGACTTAAATGCATTTTCCATGCTATTTCTGGACCATATTTTTCACATTCTTTTCGTAATAAAGCATGAATTTGTTTAACAACATTAGCTAATCGTTTGTGCTCTTCGGTCGCCATACTGAGTATCATATACATATATGTATTATATGTCATGCGTATATGTATAGTATATATAGAAAGATTTTCAGCTATATGTGATCATCGTATCTTCTCATGACTTTGATGACGTTCACCCTTATTTATCTACCGCAAAGTGCTGCAGACTGCAGTACCACGGTCACAACCGGAATTGTTGTATTTCGGTGGTGTTTAGAAATGTAAAGTATTGCGAGATACGTTTCATAAGACTTTTTCAAGAGGTACAATATTTAAGCTCTCTTTTTCATAGTATATGTATATATTGTCTAATATAATTAGTGAAATAATGTATATATTCTATTTACATTTACAACATCTTAGAATTATTAAATAATTATACTTATTCTCACGATTTACGGTGCTAGCCTAAAATTGAATCTAATCTTGGTTTCTTAGAATATACTATGGATGACGAGTTTGAAGATAGGATTCTATATCAGGTAATTTAAAAAAAAAATATAACTTGAGTACTAGTAACGTATGTTTTGTTTAATTGTTTGTGATAATATTTTTAAATATATGAGATTACTATTTTTTTTTTTAATTTTTTTTTTAAATAGAGTTGATAATTGTTAATTTCGATAATATTAACTGATGTTTATTATTCTATAATTTCCATAAAAATATAATATATGGTATTAATACAAAATATTAATTGTTTAAAGATTGTTATCGTTTCTAGACTTATGTGTCACACATGAAACTAATGTCAAAGTTTACAGTGGGTATTCCCACTGTGTTAAATGCTGCTGTCAATACTCCGTTAGGTCATTTTTGGAGAATAATGAGGATCTACGCTCTTAAACCAGAGGTATTAATCTGCGGGGCACTCTTAGCAGTTATGCTTTTTTATATACAAGCTGTTGATCTTTGGAGTAGAACATTGCTTGAAAGAATCCAATATACTTTAGGACGTACAACATCTAAGGTATTATCATTGGTGTTAATGTAATTGAATTTCTTAATTCATTCGAATAAAATTATCTTTTTTTTATTTTCTATATAATCAGGTTTCAAAATTGCAATTTCTTGTTAACGATTCTGTAAATGATGGGGTAAAACTTAGTTGGGAATTAAAACAAGGAAACATAGCAGCTTATGCTGTACAAGGTCATAGAGCCCGTATGGAAGACCGTTTTGTAGTAAATGAAGATTTAAATAATACCGGTGTATCCTTATTTGCAGTTTTTGATGGTCACGGAGGGGAAGTAAGTTTTAATCTTTATTTTTAAAAACTAAAGATATGCATTATTTTCACATTACTAATTTATAATTTTATTTATAGTTTGCTGCAAATTATGCTCGTGATAAACTTATTCCAAATATAAATAAAAAGGTGATAGAGCTAAAGGATATGATAGCTGGTAGATTTTCTGAAATACAGAAAAACAATCAAATTAATAATCAGCCAACATCTCAGTCTGAAAATAAAAAAGATGGAAAAATAGACTCAACCACAGTTGAACGTAAAAAATCTTTTCGTAAGACCGTTAGTACTTCGTTAACAGATGATTGTATGAAAAATAGTGTTGGTGTTACTGATCCAGAATTATTGAATAAATTGGATAGTCTATCACGACCGATCACAAGAGAGGTACGATAATTACAATTTTTTTTATGATAAAAGAATATTTAAAAAAAAAATTATTTATTTTGCAATGTAAAATATTTATTAAAATTACTTACCAGGTAAGGCCTTGTAGATCAGGTGAAACGCAACCTGAAATTGACATGGCAACTTATTTAGATGGAGATAAAATAAATTATGGTAGGTTGTTAACTGATGAAGTTTTGGCAGTTGATCGATTGTTAGTTAAAGCAGCTAAAAAAAATATGGATGTGGCAGGTAAAGAAGTTTATTTTTCATTTTATACTTTTATATTATGCAAATAATAATATTTAATATCTTAAAACTAAATCTTTTATTTTCTCTCTCTCTCTCTTTCTTATAATATAGGTACTACTGCTCTGATCGCACTTTTAGAAGATAATAAATTAGTAGTAGCTAATGTTGGTGATTCTAGAGGTGTAATGTGTGATGGTAAAGGGAATGCGATACCTTTGTCATTTGATCACAAACCGCAACAGGTGTTTGTACATTCTCACCTTTAAAAATGTATCTTTTATATTATTAAATTAAATCATACATTTATATTTAATTCAGGAAAGAGAAAAAAAGAGAATATATAAAGCTGGTGGATTGGTAACATTCAATGGAGTTTGGAGAGTTGCCGGTATATTAGCAACATCTCGAGCTTTGGGAGATTATCCACTGAAAGATAAAAAATTAGTAATAGCAGATCCAGATATTTTAACATTTGACCTAAGCGATCATAATCCAATGTTCCTTGTTTTGGCATCTGATGGATTATGGGATACATTTACAAATGAGGAAGCTGTAGCATTTATCAAAGAACGCATTAATGAACCACATTTTGGTGCAAAGAGCATTACATTACAAAGTTACTACAGGTAATATATCAACGAAGAATATATAAATAAGAAAAATTATAATCAAAGATTTTTTCAATTTGTCTCCATTAATGATAAAAGAAATCAGCGTTATCGCACGATATATATTTATACAAATTTTACAGGGGGTCTTCGGATAATATCACAGTAGTTGTAATCGACTTACGAGATAAAAAATACAATGGAACAGAATCAAAAAGGAATCAGTAACTACTATCTTAACTATCTCCAAGGTATTATATGGTAAAACTTCCATTGTGTTGTTTTCCCAAAACTCTTCTAGTCATTAAATTCATACTTTAATACTTTGAATTTATGAAAGCGAAGAGATAGAATGGATATACTCTTATTACATTATTGTAACTTCACCAAATACGATATTTGAGTTGTTATTAGAATGTTTCATGACTAATATAAAAGGATATTCATTCGTGCAATCAATTTTTATTTGTATTTATTATATATAGAATTTAATTCGGTATTTTTTCTTGCATGTGCCTTATTTCTTGGCTGTGTAAACTTTAAACATGCTTTAAGCATTCTTCCATCTCTTTAGCTTGTATAAGTTGTAATGACTGATTTTTGGTTATTTAAAAAAAAAACAAGAAAAGAAAAAGAAAAAATGACAACTCATTGAAATTATTTTCTTTTTTGTATTCATTCTATGTGATATCTCTAAAAGCTTCACATATTATATTATAACGATATTTACCTCGTCTATCCGACGTTAAATGCTTTACGATTTTGATATAACACATTTAAGATGTTAAATTTTGCATATATGTATATATATAAATGAATTAAAAATATTTAATCATTTTTAAGTAAAAAAAAACTGGTTCAACACAACACAAATGTGTAACAAAATATATTTCTTCCAAATATTTTTAATGAAAGCCATACATTGTATATTTTAAAATGCAAAAATATTTAATTCAAATTAATTTGCGCCCTGTGTGTCAAAACAATTCTAATGTCTATCTGTCATTCTAAATTTAAACTGTCATTATTATTTATCAGAATTATTATATATTATATGTTGAATTAATAGCTTTGTATGAGAATACATTTGTAAAATTTTAATAAGATGAATAGTTATTTTTTTATCAAATATATCTGATGATGAACTTTTTAAATGTATAAGCAACGCGATTTGTACATACAATTATATTTGTATGTATTATTTGATATAAGCAATCATTTAAAAATATATATGTCGAAGAAATGTAATATCAACAATAGAATAATATTCTATTATCTTAACAGCTATTTTGTGTTAATATATTAATAAAAATGATCACGTATGAAATTTACATAGCATATGTAAAAATATTGTACATAATTAATTATGTGAGATAATATTTGAAAATTCTCTAGATAAATTTATAAACGCTGCGAATCTTTTTGTGTTAAACATATTAATAAAACGTTATTATATATATATTTTAAAATGTGTCCATAAAATGTAAATATGCAAGAAATTTTAATTTCATTTATATTTCACTATCTCTTTTCTAATAATATTAATAATTCTATTGAAAAACAATATATGTGTCACGCCAGCGTGTGTGTGTGTGGCGATGATTGTGCCTACAAATGTATCCAATAAAAAATCAGCAGAATAAAATATTCCTATGTATTCAATATTCATATACACTTTCTATATATATGAAACATTATATTTTGAAGAACATGGTGGTATGTTTCTTTTTCAAAATAGAATATACAATTTATAATAAATAGTTTACGGGTACGACTTTTATAAATTCTGTAATCGTGGTTATTTATTAAGTAGTCTACTTAATTTTTTATAAAAAACATTTTCTTAATTGATATTTATACTTGATTTACTGTCTTTATATATACATATATAAAACAGTTTTGCAATATTATTCGAATATAAAACTAATAAGAAATATTCTCCTAATGTTTTCGAAGAATTTGTGACATTATTTCCTTATAGTAAATATTTTAATTTAACATTTTAACTTTGCATTGTAAAGAGATTTATGTAAATATAATGATTGAATAATTACAGTATCTCCATTTCCATTCTATGTCATTTGCACTTCCACATCTTTCATGTGTGCATGAAATATTTGTATGTATATGCAAATTATTAAATTTTTACATAATTATCTTCAGACATATAGCAAAAAGACATATTGAGTTTAAAATGATTCAAATCAGTAATAATAGTAAATTATAAATAAAAATTTTACGTAAAAATTAACGCGAACAATAATATATACATTTTTGTATTAAAAAGAAAAAAGAACAATTAAATTGTTCAAATCGATTACTTGTCATTTCACTTATTAAATGTCAACCAAGTAGCTCAAAGTCCTCGTCCGATGTATCATATTGACGTTCTATGTGTTCAAAGTCTAAAACTATTAATGAATAAATATATCAAAGTCTCTAAAAACTATCTTAAATACATAAAACTAATAAAACTTTATATAAGTAATCAATTCAATATTAACTTACAATTACTAGCTCCTATTGCCTCGGATACGTCTTCAGCTGGTGACCAATTAACTAATTTCTCTGTAGACAACTCGAATAATGGTTGTTTCGCAGGTTCTAACAATTCATCTTGCATAATCTTACACATAGATTTAAAATCTTTTTCTGTAGCACAGAAAAAGCACTGTAACAAATAGAATTTATTTTCAATTGCGATTACATATTTAAATCATTTTTATATGGCATGATGAATTATTTGGTTATACTTACAAGTGCTACGGAGGGATCAATGTCTGTAATAGAAATACGACTAGCAGATTTACAGTGGTATGTGAGATCCACATCTCTCTCATCATCGACACTAGCTGAACGCTGTGTCGTATGTGGATCCAAATAAATCACTTCATCTCCTAAAATATCACATTTTAATTTTATTATTTATTACACAAAAATGATAAAATAATATTTCATTAAAAAATTTATATCAAAGTTTCTTTTTTAAACATACCAACACAACCAATAAAATATAAAGCAAGATTTGGTTTTCCACCGATTACTCCTAGAGATTGTGGGATCTTGAACGAAGTCTAAAAAATGATATATGCTCAATTTGAATATCTTTGTTTTTCAAAGATATAATTTCTTCTTTGGTTGTTCATGCAAGTACTAGTATTATTTTTATATTACTTTAAGTCCATCGAGGTAAACAGGATTAATTTCATTCAAACCAAGACGAAGTGGTATTAACAGTAATAAAGGCTTCCATTGGCTCGGTGCTTTCAATGGTTCTTTTCCATCTACTTCAACTGTTGTACCTCCTTCCACTTTACATTGTCTTACTGTAAATTTAAAAATAAATGTAAATTAAAATATAATAAGTACTATATTGCAATCTACTTACAGATATCATTAACTATTAAAGCATTATCCAAAGCTACATGTATTGTAATAGAGCTCCATTCATCGTACACAACCAATTTTCTAAAACAATTTAATAACAAGTAAATCATGATTAATTTATATTATTAACATAATTTTTTATCTGATTAATATTTAATTAAAAAAAAAATGTATACTTTAATACTTGTGCAATGGTATTTGGACCAAACCATTGTCCAACTTCTTTTCCTTCTGATGCTCCCATTAACGCTATTTGATGAATAGAGAAAGGAGCAGCTCTCTTATCTTCAAAGCGTTTCAATATTTCCAGGTACGTTGTATTCTTTGTTTCTGATGTCCAACGCCAATCTCTACCTATCATCATAGAATGTTTTCTATGGTAAATCGATAGATAAAATAATAAAATCATAAAATAAGGTAACGTTATGAATATATTACCTAAATGTAAAAAGATTAAAGCTTGACCAAGAACCATTTGACCACATCTTAACATGCAGCCCCATCCTCTATCAGTTGTAAATGAAGAACTAAAACCACCAATGGGAATAAAACCTCTACGGTAAGTAAACCATAATTTAGACAAAATATCTTTACGTATATCTTCTAACTCTGAAATACAATATTAATCTATTTATTACCAATCGTGTATCAATAATTATACATAATAATTATATGTAAATAACAGCATGTATACATATACCTGTTTTAGCATGATATTTTTTTCCAAGAATCCAGACAGGTTGGTCCGTTTGTGGTATATCTTCTAAATCGTCGCATATACTCTGCGTAAAAAGACTATCCATTCTTAGACAATGTAACAGGTATTTTAATTAACTCGTGAAATGCATTAGTGAAACCTGACGAACCGTAAATTGGTTGTATAAATGTAAACAAAAGATAAATTCTATCGATAAAATTACGCAGAGTAAATTAAAATTAATTTTAATCCGAAAGAAAAAAAAAAAAGAAAAATCAACTTACTTTTATTAGAAAAAATAAAATATCAATCATGGTACTTCCCAGGATATTGCATTCGCATAAAGATAGGAGACAAGGAATAACATACGAATCAAACAGAAAAAAATATTAAAAAATAAATTTAACCTTATATCTCGTAAGATTTATTCCTAATTAAACAGCAAAATGCGTTTTTAATGTATTGAAATAAAATTATTATTAGGACAGAGAGTAATTGCATAAAAGTGAAATAAATGAAAAAAATCGTAATAATAATTCTTCAATAATACTTCTTTCTCCACGAATTTATGCACAATTTTCTATAACATGATTCATAAAGTATCTTCAAGGTGGCTCGAGATAGAAATGTGTTGTAAATAGTTACGCGGTTCCAATGTGCATCTGATATACTTACGAAGTTCCCGTGTATTTTGAGAGATGGCGCCATACGTTTGTTCTTGGATTTGAATCGGTGTACCACATGACCACAAGCATACTTTTCGTATTTCTAATATCACTTGTGGCGGGTCGGAACGATTTGTGCTGGATTTTATCTACGTTAATACATTAGTAAAGTATATTATGATTTTATTTAAATAATTTATTTATATATATATATATCATATTCTTTTTTTTTATAATCATACAAGCTTCGCCAAAAAAATGATTTTTTAAATTATTTAAATGAGCCCCTTTGCGATACAACAATCACGTACGTAATAACTACTTTAATGTATTTGTCCTTAGCATTTATTCTGCTTTGTTAGTTCAAAAGATAATAGTCCTTCTGATGAATCAAATTTAACTGTCTACCGGAAGTGTATATGTAATTGACATGTTATATTTTCTTAGTGTTTTTTATATATAAATATTTTTTATTATTATTGTGAAGAAAAATATTTAATCATAATCATTGTCATAATTTATGTATAAAAATAAAAAAAAAGATTGTATTATTGCAACTTACATTGACGTAGATCAATTTTATAGATTAAATATCTATGATATTCCATGGTCATGACTTTCACAAATCAATCGTCCTTTTAGTAAATGCACTATTGACACACGCGCCCACACACACACACACACAAACATGTATATATATATATATGATCAATATAATCGATATAATAGATTTTATAGTAACTTAAAACACGTTTCACCTTTGCTTGATCAAGTTAATATTCCGAAAAAATAAACAGGATGGATTCATTCGAACGATATAGTTTAAGATAAAAGTAATTATTAAAAAAAATCTTTCTTCATCACACATTTTATTATAATGAATTAAATAGCGGATTAATATTTATTTAAATAAAAAGAAAGACGTATATACTAAAGCTTAAATATTTACGGGATTGCGAATCGTACTTACTATGTGTGCCACGGAGCACGAAGTGAAAGTCGCCAAGTTTTCTTGCTGAACCCTTTAACAGAATGAAGAACAAGTTAGTCTACGGTCGATTGCCTTTTTGTACGGTTGTATACATGTATGTATGCATGTAAATATGTATTAAAAGAATTTCTAAATCGGAAAAAGAAAAGAATATTAAGCAGTTTGTATAATTGCCTATCTCATGTTTTTTGTTTACATTTATATAATGTATTTATTCGTAATCATAATCGTGTATGAATATATGTATGCATGTATGTACGTATTAAAGGAATGTTAATATTAAAGGAAAAAAAAAAACATTGAAAAATTTGTGATTGACTCTCTTGATTTTTATGTTTTTTTTTATGATATGATGAGTTATTGTGATAATAACTCATGATAGATTATTGTAATGATAATGTGTATTCATATGTTCGAAATTTTTGTGAGAAAGAGAAAGAGAAAGACAGATTAGCGAACGAGCGAGCTACAGTAAGAAAATAAGAGAGAATAAATTACATTTTTTCGTCTCATTTGATAAATTAGAAAATTTAATTAATATTAGTGCGAAAATTTCCATATGTATATATATATATATATATAATTTTATATAAATATATATTATTCACATATATTTGCACATATGATGAGAGTAAGATACAAAAGATAAAATGAAATTTTTATTTGTATCTATTGATAAATTCAAAAAAATATTATCTATGTGATCTTTTTTGTTAATCATATAAAAATGAAAGATATACCTAGGCAATCGGTTTTATATATTATTTTAATAACAACAAATTTCAATTCGTTCATCATCTTTATTCTCATATGCTAAGCGAGTCTTTTGTTTTTTAATAATTTGTAATACACGTTTGATTAATATACGTAGTATTTATGTACTGTGAATTACCGAAATTGAAGAATGTTGCTTGTCAACACACCAAATACGTGTGACCGAATATTTATTCTTATATATTAATATTTCGGACATACATCAAGCGATCATGTGAATCTTGACATTCTCCAATTTCGGTCTTTCACGGTAACATATATAAATAGAAAAATGAAAAGAAACCAAACGATAAGTACGATTTAGTTTTTTTTTTTTCATTTCTCTCTCTTTCTTTCTTTTCCTTTTCTTTTTTTGCATATCGTTTTCGTTGCATAATTTACGATTCCAGGTGCGCTGTAAAAAGAAATATATAGCCGATTGTGTATGGCATATACATTTTTTTTTTTAACTTACTCATATCGTAACAAATACGGAAGAATATATGAAAACGTCACTTTGATAATTGTTTGCGACACGTGCATAAATGCTACTGTTATTTTAACAGGTGTAGTGAATATTTAGGATAAACAAGAGCAAAATGTCACACAAAAGGAATTCTATGGATACTAGTGTCCTTGAAAAATTGATTACAACGAGTTCTGATGAGGTATTAGTGAAATTTTGATTGAAAATAGAAAAGTAAGTTTTTTAGGCTAATTAGAAAAAATATTCATTGTAATTTTTACATCTTACATTATTTTATAAAAACGTTTTTTTTTTTTTTATAATCTTCATATTTTACAGTTGTTTTTTTAATGTATTTATTTTTCAAACAAAATTTCACTGTTACATCAGTAAAATATTATCACATATGTACTATATTATGCATCTTTTGTACGTATATATGCATGCATATATTTTTAGATTTTATCTTTATTATAATCTGTTCTTTTAGGATACAATGGAAGAAAAAAATACGAGAGTAGATACAACAACGAAAAATGAAGGATACGAAGCGTAAGAAATTATCGAAGATTTTCTAAAAGAGAATCTCATTTTTTAACGATAAAAGTAAATGATTATTTATTTTTTTTTAAATGTCAGATACAAAAATGACATCAAAGAATCATCGTGGAAATTTTGGAAGAAGAGAAGATACGTTGTAGCGATTTTAGCATTTTTAGGATTTTTTACTTCATATATACTTCGTGTTAATTTAAGCGTAGCGATAGTTGCGATGACCGAAGATAAAATCGATGAGAATGGAAATATTTATCGGGTGAATTTTAATTTTAATATCAATATAAATATATTTGTAAAAATTTTTATCAAAAATTGTTAACTATAATGATGATGAATAGTCATAATGCAAAAAAATATTTCATGTAGAAAAGAGAATTTGATTGGGATTCGAAAACGAAAGGACTTGTTTTGAGTTCATTTTTTTATGGATATTTGAGTACTCAATTATTTGGTGGATGGTTGGGTGCCAGAATTGGAGGTAAAAGAGTGTTTGGCATCGGGATTGCAGCAACAGCATTTTTTACGATTATTACACCTCCTCTTGTCAGAACAAGTGTATATATTCTAGTTGTTTTGCGTATTGTTGAAGGAATTTGTGAGGTAAGAGTTCAAATTTATAAATATGAATACTGTATTAAAATTTTTATGTAATTCTTTTCACAGGGTGTTACATACCCCTGTATACATGCAATTTGGGCTCAATGGGCACCCCCATTAGAAAGATCAAAATTAGCAACCCTTGCATTCTCTGGTAGTTTCTTAGGAACCGTTTTTGCTATGCCTATTTCTGGGATAATGGCTGAACATCTCGGTTGGCCTTCAGTTTTTTATGTATTTGGTATAGTAGGAATTATTTGGTTCATTGCATGGTGGATCTTTGTCAAAGATTATCCTGAAGATGATCCTCGTATATCTCAAGCTGAACTGCAATATATTCAAAGTAGTATCGGTATAACTACGAACAAAATGGTTAGTGCAAAAATATTTCTTTTTATATTGATTTTATTTGTTTATTAGTTTGATATATTTATGCTTATTACTTTTAATGTTTTTATAGAAAGTAAAACATCCATGGAAAGCTATGTTGACTTCTCCGCCTGTTTGGGCTATTGTTGCTGCTCACTTCAGTGAAAATTGGGGATTTTATACCATGTTGACACAATTACCAACATTTATGAAAGGTCGGTAAAATAATCATCCGATTATTTCTTTTTTACGTTTTATAAGATTAGTACGATAATAATGGAATTAAATTTGCAAATTATTAGACGTGCTCAAATCTGAATTGGAAGCAACTGGTTTTATGTCTGCTCTTCCATATTTGGCGATGACCATAGTTGTTCAGTTTTCCGGTCAACTGGCTGATTATTTAAGAACAAAAAAAATCTTAACGACTACTCAGGTATTTTCATAGTTTTATTCAGAGATACAAATATGATGGAAAGAAAAAAAAAAAAAAAGAAAATAAGTGACCATTGTTAATTTACAATAATATACTTTATTTCGTAATCTAGGTTCGTAAGCTATTTAATTGCGGTGCATTTATCTTTCAAACGATCTTCATGACCAGCGCTGCTTTTGTCTCGACTAAAGTCGGAGTGGTTATCTGTATTACCATAGCAGTTGGCCTTGGTGGCTTTGCTTGGTCTGGTTTTGGGTAACTTTTAAAATTCAATTTTACATTCATATAAATTATAAATTAAAATGTATCGATAATAAACAATTGAATGCTTACTATTTATTTATTTGCAGTGTCAATCATTTGGATATTGCACCAAAACATGCCAGTGTTTTAATGGGAATAGGTAATACAATAGCAACTTTACCAGGAGTCGTAAGTCCCATTATTACTGGATATGTTGTTCAAAACAAAGTAAGAATATAATAAATTTTAAATAATTTATTGATTATATCTATAAATAATTATGAAAAATCTTGAAGATAAATAATATCAAATGGTTTATTTTAGAGTGCAACAGAATGGAGAACGGTATTTATTATCGCTGGTACAGTTTATCTTTTAGGTGCTATAATTTACGGTATTTTTGCATCCGGGGATAAACAAAGTTGGGCTGATGATACTTTAAAAAAACAAAGCGAAGAAAAAGTTTACGATAATCCAGGATTAGAAGTAGATAGTTTATAATTAATAAATATTTTAATGATGTAAAAAAAATGAAGATAAATTATTATTAACACTAGGTTTATGGACATTTCCTATATACCTGTCTTTACCAACATATGTGAAATTGATGCGTGAAGGAAACTACATATTTTCTTTAAAAAATAACTTATTTTACCGCTAATTCTGATATTAAAAGACTAAGAAAAAAATGAATTCGTCTCCTTAAATGAATAAAAGTCACCATGTATAGAAATATATTTGTATAATGATCGAAATAATCACACATAATGCGATTATATGTTAAACATATTGATGATGTTGTATCAATTGAAATCACATATTTTTATATTTCGATATTGTATAGAAAGAAAGAACAAACTTAATGTAAATTATTATTGTAATTATGAAAATTTTTCTGTGCAATAGTTATACGTTTAACGTAGTTTCTTGTCTAAGAATATTATTTATCTTTAAATATTTACTAAAATAGAAAATGATATTACTGATAGTGGGTAACGTTGTTTAGTTATACGATAGATGTCACTATAACATCGTTCCAAATAGCGCTGCAATTATATTTAAATAATCGTAAATTCAAATGAAAGAACGTTCGATAAATATATCGATTGTTCGATATACGATTCGATTTAGTTCGATCAAATTCGAGCACTATACTCGATCTCACTTGGATTTTTGCATTTCTATTTGGTACATTGGTACGAGTAGACAAACAATAGTTAATAGGTGTGGGTGGAGTGATTTTTCTAATATTATTATTTCTCTTGTATCTGTCGCGACTTAGAGAAAAAGAGAGAGAGAGAGAGATAGAGTTTCATGTTAAGAATTATGCAAATTACCATATTAATGTATTGATAACGCTGTTGTTCGTAAAAGTAGAACATTTTCATAAGGTGTAATGTCATAGCAAAATGAGACGTCATTACTGTCTTGTACATCATAATTAATGGTACGTATTATTTGATCGTCATACAATTTTTTTATGTCCAATTTATCAACAATAATAAATTATCAACGGATGATAATATCAAATTTTTCTTTTTTTCTCTCTTTAGGTTCTCGTGTAAAATAAATTTAACCTATTTTCTATTGCAGCCTTACACTTTCATTTAAGCGTGTATGTACATATTTATACATATATCGCTATGAACAATAAAGACAACTGGATGGATAAAATTACCTGCTGTCAAAATAATTATCATCATCGTGTATCGCCGAGAACACGAAATGATTCAAATAATCGATTTGGGTGAAGAATTCTTGAGAAGATACTGGTAATAAAGTATTGAGTTGTTCATCAATATGGCGGCGAATCTCGAGGAAGAACAAAGTTTACGGGAGTGCGAGGAATACGTTCAAAGACATAACATTCAACAAGTTTTAAAAGATTGTATAGTGCAACTCTGTGTGGGCAGACCTGAAAATCCAATATCCTTCCTGAGAGAATATTTTCAGAAATTGGAAAGGGTATGTATTTGAAATGATTTTTATCTTTTATTTTTTAGTCTTATATGTGTGGACATTTTTGTCAATGTGATTATTATAGAACAAAAAACGTTAAAATGGTATTAAAGAATATAAAATATATGTATCCTATCAAACAACTCAATATGTTATTAATTATTATCGCGTCGTGTTATTCATTTTTATATTACTTAAAATATTCATTAGTATAGTAATATAATATAAATTTTCCAAATTGCTAATTTGTCAGTACTAGCAATTGTAGAGTTAAATTTTAAATAATACTAAAAGTAGATTAAGTTAGATAGATTTAAATAATATTGTCGACAATATATTATTGACGTACAATTATATTTATTCGTATCAACAAAAAATATTAAAAACTTTGTCTATAAATTTATCTATTGCTTCAGAATACATAGTTTTAATGAACATTCGAATACTACATGCATGTGACAATGTATATGTTTAATATCAAAATCTTATTATCTATTATGATTACAACCAAAATTTTATATTATAAATTCAATTGACACAAAAATAACAAAAAACCTTAGTTAACGTCGAAAACATGAATTTACTTCGACAAAAAAATAACCTATAAAATATGAACTACAAAGAAATTTAATATGTATTAATAATAATTATTATTATTATAATACATTATAATTACCGCAACATATAATTAAAAAGAAAACAATTACCTACATTTTTTATATACAAAATCAATATTTCCGACTATATAATAACAGCCTTGTTTAAGTATATACAGTTTCTTATACGTCATCAAAACATGTTTTGATCTTAGTGTAACAGTAGTAGAAACAGTAGTAATACTACTAAGTAGTAGTAGTAGTAGTAGTAGTAGTAGTAGTAGTAGTAGTAGTGTAGTAGCAGCAGTGTGGTAGTAGTATAAGTAGTTGTGTAAATAATACGTTCAGAAAGAAGGGGTGAAGAATGGAAAGGTAGAGGGAAGGGAAGATGAAATTGGTACGGTACGATAACGATGACGTAAAATCACAGCCATGACGACATCGAGCGAAAGGTGCGCAAGCAATCTCGAGTGTAAATGTATATATGCACACATACAAGAGCAGAAAACAGGAGAGACATGCATAAAAAATACACAGCTGAATTTAAAAGAGACCAAAAACTGCTACTCTTAGCTATCGTCAACCGAAGATAAACTTAACGCAAAGCGCATATAAGTAAGTGAGGGAAGGTGAAGAGGGATGATACTTTCCGTGTGGAAGAGGGTGCTATCCTGCTAGAGAAGATTATTATTTTCCTTCGTCGTAGAGGGGTGCACGCGTGCATAAGAAAAGAAAGTATATTATACCAAGTAAAATATACGAATGGCAGAAAGAAAGAAAGAAAGAAAGAGGGATAAGGAGAGAAACTTCGCACGTAGATGAACATAACATGAGAAAAGAGAAGAGGTTAGGGTGGGGGTAATAGAAGACTGGGCAAAAGAAAAAGAAAGAGGAAGAGTAGAAGGGGAAATGATAGAAGAGAGGAGGTAAGCATGTTGAACAGGGGCCACGGGGATCTAAACATAGCATATGCTCGAAATATAACAAGGCAGAACTTTAGCCAGGAGGCACGCAAACTTAACGCGTACACATATCGACGTGGGTTCTCCAAAAATTTGGAAACTTAAAAAAGAGATAGTAGAGGGAGAGAAGAAGACAGAAAGATCAAAGCGTCGAATACGACGTTTAGTTCGTAGACATCAGTTGATAAATTGAATTCGTTCGCTAGGTAGGTAGCTAGTTATAGCTAACTTACTCGTTCGTTCGATTCCCCTCTATGTCTCACTTTCGATCCTACAAATACTAATTACTATAGACGAGGAGGTAGTAGAAGAAAGAGAGAGAAATAGAGAAAAAAGAAAAGAGTGCATCCGTGTCGTCGCCGTAATTGAAAGCAAATAGATAGCGCGGGATCATCGAGCGTGGTGGTGTGTTGTTAGGGTCATCGGTTAATCAGATTCAGGGAAGCCTTAGAAGGCAACGTGCAAAAGAAAGAGAAAAAGTACCAAGTGGAACGTTGATCTATAACACTTTACGAGAACGAGAACGAGAAGAACGACTTGAGGATTAACATATTTGTCTTTTTATTCTTTTTTGTTCTTTTATTCAATTTTCATTTTGATTTAATTTCTCACATATATATTTCGGTATATAAATTTTTTTTTCTTTTGTTTTCCGTTTTTTCTCGTAGGAATACTTCGGTTATCATCGTCTTTATTATATTGTGAGATTGTGTTCCGCAATCGAGACACAGTAGCGGTGTTACATTTCTCAAAGATCAACGTAATACAAAAAAGAGCGGGCTCGCGCGCTCTCTCTCTTTCTTTCTGTTGATCGCGAATCTTTGAATATCCCGTTATATTTTTACGTGTTTGAAGAAAAATAACACTAAACGACCAGTATAAAGGATGAGTCACCAGGTACGTGTGTGTGATGTCGTCTTTCATAAATTTAAATATACGAAAGAAAAATAAGAATATATTATTAAATTGATTAATTTTCATTAAATTTTTTTTACTATTTATTTGCCTTTCCCATCGGGACCATCGCAAAATATACTTGAAAACCGCGCGGGTTTTTTTTTTCTTCTTTTATTTTTATTTTTTGTTCTTATTAATGGGACACATTTTAAGTGTCTTATTAATATTTGATTTTTTTTTTTATATTCAATTCCTTTGTCATATGCAGTACAAGATTTGTATAAAATCAATGATGTTAATGCCTCGTAAAAACATCGTTTATATGCGATTATTAATGCTTATAAAAGCACTCGTGTTTGAGAACGTCAACTGACCTATGCCATTATTCGTTACCTTCCTTTCCCTTCTTCTCGATTCTATTCTTTGCATATGGTCCATGTTTTATTATTTAACGATTTAATGATGAACGTTAGGTGTAAGAGAAGTGTGAGAAGAAGGAGTAGAAAGTATAGTATGATTTTTAAATTTGAAAATATATAATTGTTTTTATCGTATCTTTTGAAAGCTCATAATTTTAACGATTTACATATTATTTAATTAAAAATTTTTATTATTCAATGGTGATATGGGGTATGAAGGGAAGAGAGAGATAATTTTTATATTAATAAAATTTGCGTATGATGTCCTTAAAAAAAAACGATTTTAATTTTATTAGTGATGAATGAAATTTTAAAGGAACAAGCTCACGATGCAAAACAACAAATCGCTACGAGTCCTGAGGACACCGAGGATATGCCTGCTGGTCAACAAGGACCACAAGTTCCAAGACGTCGTGGTGGTATCTCGGCAGAGCCAGTATCAGAGGAAGATGCAACTAGCTATGTTAAAAAAGTTGTACCGAAGGATTACAAAACAATGGCTGCTTTGAGCAAAGCTATCGCTAAAAATGTTCTATTTGCACATCTCGATGAAAATGAACGATCCGATATATTCGATGCTATGTTTCCTGTTACCTTTTTACCTGGAGAAGCGATCATACGTCAAGGTCAAGTCCTAACGCATACATACATACACAAAATGGGCCATAAGTTCCTAAGCTTACTGTTTTGTAATCTACAAAAATATTAACAAAAAATCGTGAGTTAATTTTTTTTAAATTATCTAGGAACTTTTGGCCCACCCTATGTATAAATTTTCGATTTTATTTAGCTTCTCTTTTTTTTCTATTTCTTAGTTCTGTAAGGACGTACATACAGATGCATGCATAGATATAGATAAGTTTTACTTGAATTTATTGATTTTTTTTGTCTCTCCTTTAAAGGTGACGAAGGTGACAACTTTTATGTAATCGACCAAGGCGAGGTTGAAATATTCGTTAATGGTGAATTAGTAACGACTATTGGAGAAGGTGGAAGTTTTGGTGAACTTGCACTAATTTATGGGACTCCACGTGCTGCTACAGTAAGAGCCAAAACTGATGTTAAATTATGGGGCATAGATAGGGATTCCTATCGTCGAATTTTAATGGGTTCGACAATTAGGAAACGAAAAATGTATGAGGAATTTCTTTCCAGAGTCTCGATTTTAGGTACATATACTTTGGAGGTTCTTTTATCGCAATATTTTTTGTTTTCATTCGCTACTTATTAATTTTTTTAATTCGTAGAATCTTTAGACAAATGGGAAAGACTTACAGTGGCTGATGCCTTAGAACCAGTTGCGTTTGATGATGGAGAAATGATAGTAAGACAAGGTGAACCTGGTGAAGATTTTTACATCATTGTTGAAGGAACTGCTGTAGTATTACAACAACGTTCGGAAGGAGCGGAACCTCCTGAACCTGCGGAAGTGGGTCGTTTAGGCCCATCTGATTACTTTGGTAATGTTTTTACATCATATTATAACATTATTACTAATTTATGTTTATTAAACTTTTGATAGTTTATATATGTATATACATCCATGAAGAAAAAAATGATTATCCTATTGTTGTAATGATACATGTATATATATATACTTATGTCTAATAGTAAATAATTAATAGGGGAAATAGCATTACTACTGGATCGACCAAGAGCAGCTACAGTTGTAGCTAGGGGTCCTTTAAAATGCGTCAAATTAGACAGAGCCAGATTTGAACGTGTCTTAGGACCTTGTGCTGACATTCTGAAACGCAACATTACTCAGTATAACAGTTTCGTATCCCTTTCGGTATAAATTCAAACAGCACGAAAAAACCGTACCAATCATACAGATTCCAATTTTTCAGACACTATGCTTCAACAACAACAACAATAATAATAACAAACCTATTGTTAAACATTTTTCTATTTCGTTAGTGCTTCATTTATTAAAATGCATATTATATGTCGAGTATTATTAATATACATACATATTGTATATCATTAGAAAAAAGAAAAAAAAAATAGTAAAAATAAGAAAAAAAAAAAATAAAACGAAAAACACTTAGTATATAAGATTATTATTATAACGCACTCTATATAATAGCTGACGATTCATATAACAAAAATTCTTCTGGTTATATTGTGTAAATTGTGTTTCTACAAAAATATCATTTATCTATTGTTTTTTTGTTAACGATCAATTTCTAAATTGATCAATTTGTATTCTTCTGATCATTTGTTATATTTAGACGCACGTATTTATACAATATTATTACTTTTGTATTATCATAAATTTTGAGATAAATAATGCTTTCAAATAAGGTCGCTGGTCGACTGTGGTAAATATTTTATGGTATTCAAATGATTGATAATCAAAATGTTCTTTTTAGCTTATATTATTTGTTACATATTACAATAGCATCACTACATTGATAATATTTCTATAACAAATATGTATATGATAAAGCACATACATATAATGCCCAATTTATGATTTATAACACAGGTATTGATAAATGATGAAACAAGTCGCAATTAATAAACTGAAAGTGCGTTTAGATTTGATTTATATAACACAAAATGTTCGGAAAATTAAATAATTTATTATGCACAACAGTATACACGTATTTTATATCTTACAATTAAATATCTACCTTCCCCCAATTTAAAAATCTTACATATTCCTTTAACCTTAAGAAAAGGTTTGTTTTTCTTAATCGAATAACAAGCCAATGACTTTTAATTACTTCTTTGAACTAAATATTATAAAACTAGAACTTGGTTGATTCATATGAGAGATATATATATATATATATACAAATGTCCAGCATAAAAAATTGATATTAAAGTTGTTTTTCTTGCTGGTGTTATTTTTTTTATTATTTTATATTTTTTTTTTATTTTCCTAAAAAGAACACAGGAACTTCGCATCATCCTTGATAGTTAATCATTGTGTTCTATAAATCTTCTTGTATTGAATCTCAATCACCACTTATTTTTGTATGCCTTATAGTCTCTGTCTGCGAAATGTCACAATTTTTTCTCCCTTCCCATAGAGAATAAGTGCAGACATTCTATGAGAAAACACTTGTTGAATTGAATAAGAGTAGTCCGTTTATTGATTAGCGATGAAAACAATAGTTTGTCACAGACACACACATCAAAATCTTCAGAAATATGTTCCTCTTCTTATAATTGGTTATTTTATCTTCATATAAAACATGTAGAAAAAAGAATGATCTACATATTTTAACCAATAATTCGAATAATTCATTGAATTACCTGGCACCAGATGATAAAGAGAAAAATATGGGCTATTTTGTTTATAAACCCAACAATAGGAAACAAAGAAGAAAAGAAACCTTTTACGAAGAAAACAAATTTCTTGCCATCTCCAATTGATTCTTCACCATTTTCGGTTTCATATCGAATCTGATTGAGAAATACAAGATACAAATTAAGAAACTATTTGATCTTTCTAGCTCTTTTTTCGTGTTTGTTTTTATAATTCACAAATCCAGAAGATTTATCCTTGATGCGCATAAGAATAGTATATACAAATTCCTCAAGAATGTTTCAAATAGTAAGGTTTTGCTCAGGCAGTAAACCATTCCCAATCGATGACAATGATTGGAAATTATTCAAAAGAATTGGTTTATATCAGCCCTTCAAGCAAAAAAAATAAATGAACCCGCTCAAACTTTGGAATATATGCATATGCATATGAACGTGCAAATAAGAAGTTACACGTATGTATTATGTCAAATTAGAAAACGTATGCATATACATATTTATACATATAGAGAGTGCCGATCGCTTAATGATTTACAGCGAATTAGGTAAGAAAAATATTTCTTTACCAACCACCTAGACAACCACTGCTTGTTTTACAGTCGATTAGACGCCGTTCAGGATCAGCATAAACCAACGTAAATTCACTGACAAATTCATAGAACTTGTCCAATGTTTCAAAGGCCAATTCTGCTACGATGAAATCAACCGCCAAATTTTGCCGGTAACTAAACAGTAGAAGAAAGAAATACAAATGTTAGATGAATAAATATGCACATATATATACATAAACGTATGTATGGATGTATATATAAATACACACACACACACACATATATATATATATATATAAAACAATTTAAAATATGAATGATAAACATATATACATATAAAAAAAAATTTAACTTTCAGCTGCAGTACCCTGTAACAGAAATCTTCATAATTATAATTCCACTCTCTCCCTTTCTCTACTTTTTAATTATGTACCTATGACATTAAATCTAATTTGTGTATTTTATAATATACAAAGATAAATATATATATATATACACATATAATTTTGCTTTTATATTCAAGTTTCTACTTAAAAAAAAAGAAAAAAAAAGAAATTATATTTACAATTTATATATAACTAACCATTTAAAATTATATACTTCAATCTTATCTTATTGTTAGTTAAAAATTGTTAGATTGAATATTGAAAACTAGGTACCATATGCATCATATCACATAAAATGTCACTGTATTGTTAGTTCATATCAATATATGCAATGATAAATAATTTGAAAATAATATTGTACTTACGACTTTATCATTTGCTTCAAAGCAATCTTGCGTTCTCTGGCAGCAAACCAATCCATCAGAAAGGCAGCCATTCTTGGTGCATTTCTGTATAACTTGAATAAAGCATGAAAGTTACCCAGCCACCATGCTGAACGAACTTTCAATGCATGTTTAATACATTCATCCTTTTTATCTTCATTAGTAAGTGATGCTAAAATTGTTGTTAAATCTGTAATAAATAAAAATATTATAATACTAAAAAATTCAATGTGTACACATATAAACACATACAAACATATAACATATTCATATTCATATTATTATTATTATTATTATTATTATTATTATTATATAATTTCTATATTTACCTAAAGTATTTTTTGTAAAAATATAATATAAAATACGGTATGCCACAAACTCGCATCTATTTTCACCACCCACATCTTGATATAACATTCTTAATTGTGTTTGACATTGATTAAATTCTTCATGATCTCCACGTTCTAAAGCTACACGAGCGTGGGTTTCATAAACATGGACAGTAAATGCATCTCTGATACCTTGCACGGTAAGATCTTGTCGTATAGATTTTAATTGATCACAAGCATATCTGTAGTCTTGTTCCACTACCCAACGATTCTTGACATAGGCCAACGAATTTTGAAGAACACTTACCGGTCGAATTGCAGATGGAGCTGGAGCCTAAAATATTATACACATATAACTTTGTTTAAACAAATGTATATTAAATTAATACTATGCTATATCTGGTGGCACCACATTGGTGTCACAGGTAAATATATTGGACAAATGTCAAATATTAAATTATTAATCGTTTGAGTGCCACAGTCTTTCTTGTTTTCTGATCGAAAATTACCAAGCGGCGAGACAGCGCTTGTCATATTCTACGTCCTAAATTGCCGAGCGGTGCGTTAGCACTTATTTTCTCCTTACAAACAATAGATTTGTTTTCTGTGATTATGGGCTTCACCGCCTAGAGCTCTGATGCTTTTAGGACAGGACAGAAGAAGCGCGATCGCGCTGCTTAGCACTCAAACGTTTTATGAAATGTCTTACCGATGTTAGGCGTAAATAAGGTTTTTCTAAGTCCTTGCAAGTTCCAATGATGTGAAGTCCAGTGAAGTCAAAGTCAGGGGTTGGATCATCTCTAATGGCACAGTTGAATGTCCTAGAAATGGGATCGTTAAATCGTGCCGCACGTTGTTGAAGTTTCTCCTTGGACCCCAGTTCATCGCTATTGCCTGTAGCTAAACCAAACTCTGAATAGAAATGTGATTTTGTCTGCTTAGTCTTCTTGGGTTTCTTGTTGTTGTTGTGATTTTGTTTATTTCGTGTTGATTTTTTCGTTTTCAATGATTTGCTGTCATAGTCCCGATCGCTAACGTTAGACGAAGAGGAGGTGCTACGCCTGTACTTCCTCAAGGGGGGACTACGCGTATGAGAACGTGATCTCGACTTTGATCTTGATCTTGACCTCGACCTCGACTTTGATCTTGACCTTGACCTTGATCTCGATCGTGATCTAGACCTCGATCTCGACCTCGACCTCGACCTTGATCGCCTATGGGTCACAGAGAGACGCGCGCCAAGCCTAGCTCCAAGAGAAGTTGAAAGCCCTGACTTGCGCAAGCCTCCCTGTGTATTGGCCAATGGATTGGCTAAAGGATTATTTAATTTTAATGCTGGCTTCTGAGGCTTTATCGTCATAGTCATACGTTCACTGTGTATACTAGGTAAAGGCTCTTTGTCCCAATCTTTTACCCAAAGCGAGCCATCATTAGCAGCTCGTGTTATTTTCCCTTTTAGTATTATTTCAACCTGATCCTTGTCAACTGCTGTTTTACACTTTTCATAACACCTGTTCACGTAATTTTTTAAGCTGTCAGGCCAATCCCCAACTGGATTAGTATTTGATGAAGCAATAGGGGGATTATTTCCCACTGGAACACTAGTATTCGAAGATGCACTGACTGCTGTAGTGGCAGGTATAATAGGATCAGGAGATTCTTCAATGGGTGGAGGGGGTACAGCTATTTCATGTTGAATAGGAGGTAAAGGTGGTAACTCCACTTTGAGATTAGGTTCCGATACAAAATTTGTTGTTACATTGTTTCCCTGAAAGTTATTGTTGAATTGTGCCGCTAGATTTTTGTTCCTCTTACGTTTTTTCTTTGCAGCTCCACTGTTTCCTGATTGAGGAAATCCTAATCCAACTTTTTTGTTTTGTAGATTGAACCGCACTTGTCCATTGTATTCTAGAAAAAATGATTTTATTAAATTTAATTGATCTTATACAGGATGATTCTGGGAACGTGGAAAGACGTTTGAAAATATTATGCCATGATTTTTACTCTATCATTTTTCTTATTTTTGTTTAAAAAGGACCAATAACCTGTCCCAGTTCCCTTAATCACCCAGTATATATAAGATCCAAATTTTACAAAAAATACTTACGAGAAATATCATTATGCATTCCATTCCAATTACCATAAGAAAATGCACCGTAGACAAATCCTGAATGAGGCTGTATTGATGGTTGTACCTGATTATGTTGTTGAGTAGGTTGAAGAGGTGGAGGAGGTCCAGGAGGTAAAGGAGGAAGATCGGAATCGTCGTCTAAAGTCATGGGTGTTCCAGGTACTGGAGGCTGTTGATGAAGTTGTTGTTTTATTTGATTATTTGCCTGTGAATTCTGCTGCTGAAGAGACTGTTGTTGTTGTGGCTGTTGCTGTTGTTGCTGATGTTGCGGATGTTGCTGCATTTGCTGTGGATTAAAAGCATGCCCATAGGCAGGCATCATCGTGTGATAATAATTAAACATTTGACCTTGATGCGATACTCCTTGGTATCCTGTCCCATACAATTGGCTATAACAAAAATACAAACAAAATTATTCATTGTGAAATAAAAAATTGAACAATGTAATGCTTTCTTAATAAGAATGAGAAATAAATGGTATATTGGCTTTTATTTATGAATTGCTTAGAACATTTTTATTTTATCTATATCAGATTATACAAAATAAGAAAATTAAATAAAGGCATTATCTTAAAATAATCAAGCAGCCTCTCTCTCCCACTTTCTCTCTAATATCAATTCTTATAAGTTAGTAATAAAAATAATAGAACTCTGCATTAAATATAACATTTAATAAATCTTCTTTAATACATATATATATATTAAATTATTATGATTATTATTATTATATATATATATATATATTAATATATGTATATAATTGTAAGATGTAATATTTACCCTGGGTAAGATGGAAACATAGCGTGCATGTTATTTGGTGAAGGATACTGCCACGCCATGTTCGCCATTGAACTCGCTCCTAATTGCTGAGGCTGTTGAAATGGCTGCTGCTTCTTCTGAGACGCTAAAATCTCCCCTTCAGACATACTCGTTAAAAAAAAATCTCGAAATAATTTCTTGATAAAATCTTACTTCACAACTTATCACTTTCAAGAGGAAATATTGCTTATTCCGTTAACGCTACGAATATAATCAATAAATAAGCTAATGTAAAACGTATGAACTTCACGAAACACTACGTAATACGACCCAAATTTCCTTTTATAATAAATTGACAAACCTGCAACTTAAAGAATATAATTTGTGAAACTAGTGGGAATTGACTCATAACAATGATGCCAACCTAACTTCTATACTTTATTATGGTGTGTATGCGTATATATATATATATATATATATATATATATATTCTATTATTAACATTACAAGCTATTAATTTTATTTATTTTATATGCATTTATACATAATTGAAATTTATATATAAATTACTCATATTGAGTTCGGAAGACTGTACTTTGTTCTGATTCTTACATCAGATGCATGAATCAGATTCTTTAAAGCATCGATCCTTGCGAGCTATCGATAATATTTCGAGACGCTACCTCAACTGCAGCGTGTGTCGCTACTTGCGTCACTTGGTGCTAGGGATTTTTCATTTGCCCTTACATCGTGTTAGTAGGTATTCTGGTTTGATCAATTTGTAGTTAGACATGAAACATGGTATATAATGTTCTGTAGGCTGAAAACTTAAAATTTTTTATTACGTAGTTCATACATATATTGTTAAGAATTTCCAAGTTTATATTTAGATATTTTTGTAAAATATTAAAAAATGGGAGATTTTCATTCCCCTATGCGTCTTATTTCTCATAATGCAAGGTATTTTAATTCATATAATTTGAATGCATTTAACTAGAATATGACATTTTATTTTTTTAAATGAAAATAATTTTATAAAGAATTATCTAATTAAGATTAATAATTTGAATATAATTTATTTATAGAATTTTAACACCTAAACCACAAGTTCAACAAACTCTTCATTTAAAACAAGTTCAAAATAAAACAAAGAAAAATATTACATGGTTCTTTGTGAACAGTATTCTTGTCAGTATTATTATCACAGATATGTAAGATTTTAAATTTTCATTTATTATCAATATATAATTAGTATATTAAAAATATTGATTATTATTTAAGTATATATTATTTATATTATAGATTGTACGGAGGTACAGCTTATAAACCATTTTTTTGGATTGAATGGTTTTTAGCATCGATATTTGCTATAAATGCATTTTACCATATAATTCAGTACACTTGGACAAATTTTCACATAGAACCAATTGCATTAAGTCCACGACAAAGAATTTTATTAGGAGTATCTAACAATGATCCACTTTTCAAAAGTGAAATTCCTGTACAAAAAACCCTGGAGTCGAATACATCCTTGAATTTATCTTGTATTAGTCTTAACAGACGCGTGACACAACTTGGATCCTCGCTAAATGAAACCAGTAAGTAAAAAAGTTTAATTGTTTGTTATTGATGTATTATTATCACAAATACATCTTTATTTATCATATAGAAAAAAAACTATGTATGTAATTATATTTTGTTGAAGAAGATTATTCAATAAATACATTCGCTAAATATGGCAATGCATTGTCCCCAAAACTGAAGCTCAATGGTAATGGATCGATCAACAAATCTTTAAATTCTTCTATAAATAGTACATTAGCAAGCGAAAGTTTCATTCAAAATGAAGCTGAATTGCAAAAATATTTAAAAGATGCATCCGTACAAAGAAAAACTATACTTTCTACTAATATCGATGAACCCTCCAATTTGTTGAGTTCATTTTGGACACATCCTGCTGTAAGAAGTACCAATGAAGTTTCTCCTTCGTTGAGAAGATGTGCTTATCAACTTGCTCCTACTATGTCTTTTGGTAAATTATAATATATATACTATATGTAGGATGGTAATAAAAAAAAGTCTAATATTTTACACTAATTCAAAAAATATTTGAAAGTGTACGTTAATCTATGATTTGTAAATGTCAGAATTGCATTCAAATGGAAAGTAGACATATCGAATATCTATGTTTTGAACATATGTTTACGTCTACGAAATAATCTTTGTTGATATTAGTAATAGTTTTTGCTTATTTTCATAATAAACGTATTTTGACAATCTTGAGCTAATGTATTTTTAAGTAAATTCTTATATGTACATTTAATATGTTGCCAAAAAGCACACTTACGATATCGAACACTCATAAATAATAAAAGTTTATTTACATTGAAAGGGTTGATTTTAAGACCCATTTATCATATCAATTAGACATTTTTTATTCCTCTTGATAGGTACTATAAGCTCTTAAAATATTGGACTCTGTTTTTTACCACCCTGTATATATATCTATAAAATAAATTATTATTGTGTTAGAAATAATTGTAATCTTTATCTAGATAAATCAAAATCTTCAAGTCCTTGTGTAGAAGAAGGAAATTCGCCAAGAGGTACCTTTGGCATTCCAGATGTTTGGAGAAAATATAGAATTGATCCAATTAAAGTTAATGAATGGACAGCTAATCTTCGTATGGTATATATACTATTTCTTTTTAAAATTATTACTATTATTAACAGAAAATATGCTATGAGTCCGTGTGTTATCTGGAAATTATTTTAGTGGATTAGTAAAACTGTTGTCGAAAGAGTTGCTGCAGAAATTGATAACATATGTTCATCTTTGACTCGTCATGGTTTAAGTGATTCTCAACCAGGACATATTGGTTTGGATAGACTGAGAAAATTGGCACAAGCACAATTTTTAGTGTCTACGATACCAACGCTTCCTACATTAGTACCTTTCCTAGAATTATCTAATAATCAAGAATATTTAGTAAAAAGAATTAAAACACTTGCCAAAGGGGGTTCTATGAGTGAATTCAAATGGAATAGTGGTGGTTCGCATAATAACAAAGAATGGGATTCTAGTTTACCGACTGATTCAGCTGTAAGAAATTATTGATTATTCTCTTACAAAAAATAAAATTCATTTTTATCTACACAAATATGTTTATATACATTATTTGTAGGTAATAATGCATTTAATAGCAACTTATATGGACACGCAATTAGAAGCTCCTTTAGATCAACCAGATGCACGTCCTTTCTCATCAAGGTATATGGCTCGATCAGGCATGGATTTACCAAGAAATAAAGGTCCTATAATAATGTGTCAATCTGTAAATCCACCGCATTATTGTTTAGCGTTATCTGGCGACTCCTTGCCAACTGATTACGAAGAAATTCAACGGGTAAATAATATTTTCTCTGCATATAAAAATATAATAAAAAAATATATATATATCAGTGGTTTAATTCATATAACATGTATATTTTTCAGGGTAGAAACAATTTATTTTACACGCTCTTACTTTTTTTATATATTGTTAAAACTCGAGATCATGGTATGTTGGGACGTGTTAATTTAGGAGCATCAGGTATTAATATCTTATGGGTTATTGAAGGCTAAAATTAATAAAAAAGCGTATCTATAATTTTGCTTTATATAACTTGTATAAACAATTTCAATCTTCTCAGATTTTGGTTTTTCTAGAAACGAATTTTAATTAAGTATATATTAATATACATATATTAACAAACAATCGGATGATATTTTATAATTTATTTATGAATATGTGTGTGGGTGTGATAAAAAAAATTAAAGAGAGAGAGAGAGAACTATATTTGAATTCTACGAACTCTTTATTCACATATACTTACCCATTATGTACAAATAAAACAGAAATTACGGTTTGTAATTAATAAAGGTATTTCTATACTATTATGAAATACATTATTATTTACTATTTGTTTGTTTTTTCGAATTAAAACTGACATCAATAAAGAAAAAACGTAATTTACAGGGCTGAGTAATATTAATTAAGTTTATCTACTTTTTTTTTTTTACATATAAATGCATGTTTTTTTGTGAATTAAGCTGAACGGTACTATAAATGCACTAATCGTGTACTAAACTTTATAATAACTGTCTTTATCAAGTTTGATATCTTTTAAGTAGAGAGAAATTTTTGTTTATTTTTATATCTTATATATTCAATTTATTCTTTTTATTAGGATAGTAACACAAATATTATGGAATTATAATTTTATAAATTAAGTTCATCATTTCACTTAAAATTTTATATTTATATTTAAATAAAATAATGATTGACTTAAAAACTTTTATAGAACATAAAAAATAATACATACAACTTGATTCAATATGTAACAAATTATTATTATGAAATTACTCTATAGTCAACATAACAATACGATTTTTTAAAACAATTATTTAACTTCTCTATAGAAAAGTATGTCGACACATGTTTAAAAAATGTAAACGTTTTATTTTGTGTATTTTATATTAATATTTATAACACATATAATGCATTAAATATTTAAAAAATTATCAATTAAGTTAGATAACTGTTTTTATAGAAGATATATTTTATTCATTTATTAAGTAACAAGGACTCTTATGATAAATATCGTTTTTTTTTTGTTTCTTTTTTCTTTCTTAAATAGAAATAGGAAATACATTTATAATAAATGAAAATATAAAAATGTAATTTTATTTTTAAACTACAATTAGATACTTATCGTTGAAACTTATAGTTCAAAAAAAAATATCATATATGAAAATATAACAGATAAAATGAGAATCTATTTAATAACGATTTGCCCTAAGCATGTCTTTTAATAAAATATTATTCATATATAATAGATATGATAACGGATAAAATTAATTTTTTATATTAATTTGGTTACAGACACTTTTTCAATTAAAAATCATACTATTCATTAACAATCTCTCTTTCTCTCTCTCTCTCTCTCTCTCTCTCTAGCATATACTCAGCCCTGTGTGACATACAATATTTTATAATACGGTAGAAGTATACTTCTCTTAAACTGCCGACTATGCAAGTTTTATAAATTGCATTTTCGTCTTGTAAAAATAAACTTTAGTATAACGTATCATACATAATTATAATTACAATCATATATCACCGTACCAAGTATGCATTAAAAAGGAGCCTGCAAGGCTTACTTATTTAATACATGAAAATTTCATGTCTCTATATATAGTATACAAGATCGTCTTTTTCTTTCTTTTGAGATTAACAGTTTTGCTAGAAGACAGAACTAGCAGAATTATTTTACTGTTCTTTCTAATAGGAATGAAAAGAAGAGAAATATCATGCAAAGAGATCATTAAGAGCTCATATTTTCAATCCTTTTTTTCGTTCACGCTATAAAATTAGGATGCATTCTAACAAGATCAATACATCATTGTTCTTTTTTACCTTTTTTTAAAGGTAATTTTTACATCTTTAATTTACTGAAACTCTCGACATGTTACGACGTTGTAAATATTTTTGTACCTTCGGGTAATATTACTTCATCACCTACATCTGCGAGAGTTACAGTGAGCGGAAGTATAAGTGGCATTAATATTTCTTGATGTTGCATTATTTGTTGGGTAGTTACTGGTTCAGTTTGTCTAGTAATAGTAATGGTCTTAATGTTTTGTGCTTTAACAACTTGCGTTTGAGCAAGAGTCTGTTGTATTCTCTGCGTTGGTTGCTGTGTTTGAACTTCGGTAAGTGTTTGAATACGACTCTGATTTTGCAAGAAGTTTTGTTTACATCGTTTGCTATGCGCATAACGACTACCATTGTTATTAAATCTACGATCACACGTAGGACAAGCATAAGGTCTTTGACCTGTATGAATAAAAACATGTTCTTTTAACGACTTCAATCGACGGAAATTCTTGGGGCAATACTTGCAATGATACTTTGCTTCACCAGTATGCGATGTCAAATGATTAGCAAGAGTATCAGCTCTGGCAAATGCTCTAGAACAGTACTGACAGATATATGGTCTTTCCTGTGTATGTGTCCTCATATGCATTTTTAGGTACGCATTTGTGGTAAAAGGTCTAGAACATACTTCACAAACATATGGCTTTATACCATTGTGAGCTCTCAAATGTGCTATTAAAGTAGTCGATTGGGTGAAACTCTTAGAGCATATTTCACATAAAAATCTTTTGGAGCTATCCGTTTCTTTGTTTTTCTTAAATGGTCTATCGTGTTTTGATAAGTGATTGGTAAGTTGTTCCTCTTTAATAAATCGTTTTGTGCATCTTGTACATTTATATGGTTTGATCATATTATGCTTAGCCACATGAATTTTTAAATGTTCTCTTCTATAGAATTTCTTTGGACATATGTCACATAAATATTTTTTACCTTCATGTACTTGTATATGACGTAATAAACCTTTTCTAGAAGTATAATGTTTGTTACATTCTGTACATTCAAGACCTACTATATCTGTCCTTCTTTTTCGAATAATTTTCTCTCCCTGCTTTCTTTCTTCAGGGCATGGTTCAATATCTCTCAAATCTTCTTCCGTTAAAATTCCTTCTGTTACATGTTTAGCTCTATGTTGTCGAAGTATTTCATTATTTTCAAAACTGTCACCACAAATATTGCACTTTCTTACCTGGTCAGGATTCTTTTCTGAGCATTTATCATAATGAGCTTTCAATTTATCTTTACGATAAAATTTCACATTACATATATCACATTCGAAGTTTGGTTCTTCATGAAGTAATTGATGTCGTAACAAAGATTTTTTCGTACTATATCTTTTTTTACATGTTGCGCATTCGTGATTATCCATTAGCCAGTCCAGACCACTTTCGAAGTCAGAATTATCATCGTCTTCGTCTTCGTCCTTTCTTAATTCCATGCCACCTATCCTTTGTTGTTCTTTTTTCTCCTGTGGCTTTTTAAATCTCTCTAATCTATCCATTTTTTCTGCTTTTTCATCTTTTACGTGTTGCTCCATATGCTTTGTCAGCATATGTTTCGAATTACATTTTTTATTACAAGTGGCACATTCTAATTCTTTTCTATTATTAGCTTTCTTTAAAGAATTTTCATTCTTACGATTATGATGGACATCAATTAAATCATTATTATCATCTTCGTCATAATCTTCCAAACCATCTTCTGTTTTTATTTTATCAATAATCTTTTGTGCTGCTTTAGCTGCTACTCGTTTTATACGTTTATTAGGATCATATTCTTGCCCATGAACAAAAGTCTTATGGTTGGTTGCTATTAGATGATTACGTAAAGTCAATTCATTTCCAAATGTTTTATTACATTGCGTACATTTATAAGTCTTTATTCTTCCATGTTGTTCCATGTGTCTTCGTAAATGATCCTTTCTCGTAAACTGTTGACAACATACTTTACAGTTATATTTTGAAACTGTTTGCATTTCAATATGCCTTGAAAGAGATTTCTTGTGAGAACATGTTGATGTACAATGTTGACATTTAGATTCTTTCATTTCTTTATCTTGAGCATCATCTATATTATTTTCAACTTCCGAATCGTCTTCATTGTCTCCTTTAATATCTTGTTCTTCATCTTCTTTATTAATTACATGATGTTCTATATTGTCTTCTAAATCTTGATCAATTAACATACCTTCCACAACATGTTTAGCACGATGATTTTTTAATTGTTCAAGTTCATCAAATTTTTCGTTACAGGTATTACATTTTAAATTAACGTGTGAAAGTGTATGCTTTCTTAAGCTTCGTCTAGTATAAAATTTCTCTGAACATTTGTTGCATTCAAATATCTCCAAATGAGATTTCTTTCTATGTTTATCTGTTTCTTGATCATCTTCCTCATTTTCGTTATATGATTCTTCTCGTTTTGTCCTTTTTCTACACTCATAATCCGAATGTTGCGAATTACTATGATTATCAAAACCTAAACTATTTTCGTCTTCGTGAAATGATATTTCTAGAGGCATGGAATCATCTTTAGCGTTTTCTTTTTCTTTTTCATGGCGTTTAAGGTGTTTGTTAAATGAAATTATATATAAATATTCTTTACCACAATACGAACACTTGTTAGGCCTTTTTCCAGACGGTGGCATCTTTGGGGTAGTATTAGATACTTTAGGTGATTTTTCAGGCACTTTTTTAAGAGACAAAGCTCGCCTAATTTCTTCATGTGAATGCATATGTTCCTTCAATACGTTCTTAGAAAGAAATTGTTTATCACAAAGATAACACATGAAATAAACCTTTTCTGATTTATCAGCTTGGGCTTTTTTAAGACGAGAACTAAGATTCAAATTTTCAAAATAATTTTCTTCATCAGAATCTCTGTCGCTTGTAAAATTTCGTCGCGATGATCTTCGTTTACTTTTTCTAATTTCAGTCGTAGATACATCTTTTTCAACAAGCGTGTCACTATTTGCAAGCGGTATATGTTCCGTTTCTATTTTACAATTTTCAAGTATATTTGATTCCATAAGCGATTCATTGCATTGTGTTGTATTTTCCTTAGAAAATGCTTTAGATTCTGTAGAAGCAAACTGTTCGTTCATAACATAATCTTGCTGCATAATGTAATCATGTTCTTCAGCAGGAATTGCATCTGTACAATTTTCATTAATGCAATCTGGTTTTAATACTTCTTGATTGTCTGCATTATCTACCAATGTACAGGTATCTTCGTCTATTTCATTTGAGAATTTGTCTTCGTTATGAGAGCTGTTCATCATATTTTGTTGTTCCAACATTTGTGAATTATTTTCTTCTAAATATTAAAAAAAAAATATATATACTTTTAATTTATTATATATTATTTTATATAAATATTATCAAATATCATAATATGACAAAATTTGTTATCAAAAATTGAACTTTATAGTTATATATATTAACTTACCTTCTCTTAATTGTTCTCGTTCTACCAATTTTTCAACTTGTAACAATGCCAATTGTTCTTTCAACAGAGATTTTTCATTTTCTGATTCCTCGGTCAATCCTTCATTAGCATGTTGGTAATGAGATTCCAAATGAATATCATTGATAGCTTCGTTTCTATCTACCTCCAAGTGTACTTCAACTTCGTTAAAGAATAATTCTTCTTTAATGCCATCAAACTTTTCTCTTAATACATTGTCTGCTTGTTCGACTTGAAGTTTAAATTCATATGCAGATTCTAATTTATCCGTGCATTCATTACAAATGTGAGGAGGTAAGCCATCGCCAGGTAACATCTGTGTAAATGTAGAAAAACTCTGGAAATAACTCTGTTAGAGATTTTAATAAAATGAAAGTGAATTTTTTATTATTGTGAAAAAAATAAATGCTATTGGATGCCACTTACAATCAAAGAAGAAAATGATTCTATAATAAGATAAAACTAACAGGGTATATATACAAATATATGCATATGTATCTATACTACAGATACACACACGCGTACACATGCGTTACATATAGGTATATGCATACACATGTTGCGTATATATATACGTATACATACTATATTAAATCACCTATCATATATTAGTTATTTTAGAGATAAGATCGACACTATGATAAAACATATCACATGTATTTGTTTTTATCTTCTTACGTAGTGTTTAACCTCTAAAAACTTCAGGTATCTAACCTTAACGTTCGCGAAACTCATCGCTTTAGCCGATAAAGAGGCGATCTCATTTCCCAGGAAGAGGTCTCGCATCACCAGGTTACCATGAAGACATATACGACATATCTCCACAGCAGACACAATTTCTTGTTCACTTTGTGACGGATTCGACGTACTTATTTCTACGGCGTCCATGTTTTGTTTAATGAACCAGGCTAATGCCTACTAATACACTCCTGTCTCTTTTGACAAACTTTGACAAACTTTCAACTTAATTCAACTCAACTTCCACTTGCCTTTCTCTTTCTTTGCTTCTTTATTCTATTATTTCATACACCTCTCTTTAAGGTGGAACAAATGAACGCAAAATAGTAGTAATACACGATAATACATGATAATAGTACTTCTTCGAAACCTTCGCGCTGTCTTCCCTTTATTTGTGCCGTTCTTTTAATATTACTAGTGCTGTCATCTAGTGAATAATTGTTAAATGACTTTATTAAAATCGCATCGATTTCAAACCGTTTTAAACTTACTATTTCAGAATAACCACGTGTGTGTGTGAACACGAGATAAAACCATTAAATTTTTATTTGGAAATTACTTTTTTCGAATTAATCTATTATTCATTGAATGGTTGTTATGATTTAAAAATAATTAATCAATGTTTCATTCGACAGATAGTGTTTTAATTGATGAAAAAAAATTTTTTAAATTTGTTGATACATTATTTCATTGTTATGATGCAAGTAAGAAAGTGTACAGATTTATAACACTTTACTTCGAGAGTTAATATTTCGATTAATGTATTAATATGTTTCTGTATCGTCTTTGGGTAACATTTACTCTAGATGAATGATGAGTCGATCATGTATACTGGTGTGTGCGCTGCCGCACCGGATCGATTTAGAATGTACAAATTGTAGAGAACCTAATTTTCAAATAATCGAAAGTATGTGAATGATTTTAATAGAGAAGGTTTGAAATGTTAGGAGCGTACAGTTTGCGAATTCGGTTAAACTGTCGGTATTAAAAATAAAACTTAATGAAACAAATAAATTATTAAAAGGAAGAATGTACGTTTGGTTTTGGTTTAATGAGCGTGTCGTCAGGCGAATATTAGGGTTTCTCTAACAGGTGGGTTATATACGATGATATTTTTTAATTTTTAAAAATAATTTATAATTTCATAACTTAAATATATGTGTGCGTTGATATATGGAGACAAGAAATATTTTAATTTTTAAATATAATGTTTAGTTTATACTGCACACACACTGCAAATTTTGTAATAATTTTTAAAATCACATAATCTTTATCTTTATTTTTTTTTTAGAGTTTTAACATAATTGAAAATGCGACAGAATTTAATAATGTCAATATCTGGAGCATATTTTGACTAATCTAAAGAATTAGTAGCAATGAATTGGGAAGTGTATCATCGATCAATACTATAAAGTGCTTCTAATTGAATTAATAATCGAAAGAGATTTATTAAAAAGATACCTGGGAACATGTTCTTCTTATATACAGGGTGACTCACTTATACATGCCTATCGACAGAAAGTACTTATAAACGTTTTATCCATAGTTAGCACTTACATCAGAATAATTTATTTGTCAGTTTATGTGCGTAAAGAATCTTATATCGAATGTAATTACATAGTTTTTTAATAATTACAGTAATGTAACCAATGCTGGGAACAACCAATTAATATTGTCTAATACAGTTGCAAGCGGTACAAACAGAAGTATTTTAGATTTATCTGAATTAAGTGATGCTGATCTCGCAGGTTATAGATTACGTTGCGCAGTTTGGATTACATTTGTATTGGCAACAGGATTTGTCGTGGCAGCAAAATTATCTTTTGGTCATGAGGTAAAAGACTCATTAAAATATGTTCTATGCGATAATGTAGGATGTCTCAGAATAAGCGGGAAATATTTTAGGAGTGACTTCAGCACATCTAAAAACAATAAGAAAAATTCATATAAACACATATCCTATTTGATTTTGGAGATGATTTGATATTCACCAAACTCTATCTGTCTACTTTCATTTGAACAGGGCCTAGGTTTGGAAATATTTGTATTTTGTGGTCTATTGACGCTTCTGCTACTTATATGTCTGTGTATCATTCTTTGTGGTCGTAATCCCGAGAATAATAGTCGTCAAGAAAATCGTATTCAAGAGAATCAGATTACATCGTTAACTAATGCGAGTTTATCTACTACTGAAAATTTAAGACCTATACCACTTATCAGGCAACATCCACCACCGCCTTACCATATAGCTATTTTAATTCCACCACCAGATTCTTCAGATGAAGCTGCTCCACCTTCATATGACAAAGTTTTCCAATGAAAATGTTTCGATTCTTACTTAATTTTTAATATTTTCTGCAATAGTTTTATATCATAAAAAAAGACAAAGTACAATAACATATACAGTTTAAGTCCAAATATGTACTTTCTCTGCTATAAAACAAATACATTTATATAGGGTTTTTACAGATATTAAACCATCTTATCTCTCTCTCTCTTTCTCTACATTAATAAAGAATAAATTATATTAATAATTGGATAAATTTCACATCTGTGATACAAACATAGTGATGCAATGAAGATACCAAACTTGATAATATATATCTGATGACTTAAAAAATTATATATTAAGTTTTTAGTAGAGATATTTCAAGAAATAATTAAACAAAATATAAACGATGTTCGCGATAGTTTGCATTTAATGTGGAAAAAAAATATGTATTCTAATTTTTTATATTTCAATATACAATGGTGTGATATATATAGAATTTAAAACTAGTCTCTCTAAAAACAATGTATAATAATAAATTATAATTATAGAAACGATATTTCGGATATATTTGATTAATTTGCTAATGCACAAATTGCTCGATTGTGAAAAAATGATGCATAAAATTAATTTAATATTTCAGAAGAAAAAGAAATTATTATTATAAGATATATTCGACGAATAGCATAAAAAGTATGATTTATGCACAAATATTAAATGTAAGACCAAGATAAAATCTATTCGTTGTATATCCTTTCAATAAATTTACAGTATAAAAAAGCAAATAAAAAAATAGTTATAGTTTTACATAAAAAAATAATTTTCAGTCGATGTCAGAAAAATATGTATTTAAATGCTACATAATATGTAACAATTGCACATATGATCATCAAAGTGTAACTAAGTCATTGTGAATTACATAATATATATAATTTTATATATAAACTTTTCTTATATGTAAATTTATGAATTGAGAGTATGTTTGCTTGTTTATTTGCTTGTGTATACATATTTACTAGAAAAATATTTTATCGCATTTTAATCCATATAAAAAAGTACGAAATATTTTTCCTACTTGTTTGTTGATTCATCGACGAAGGTGTGTTCTCGATGACGACGACAATAAAAACAGGGTCGGGCCTCTATTTTATGGAAATATCAATCGACCATAACATATTCTAGATTCTAGAAAAACCTGCTGTAGCAAACAAATTTTTTAATATATTAACAATCAATTTGAATATGGCATCAACAAGTTTATTATTCTGACCAATCGTATGCGAGTATTGAATAAGCAACACGAGAACGCGCTCATATTTAAAGCGCGGATAATTTACAATGAAATTCAGATTTCTTTAAAACGTATAGCAAATAACTGGAGTACGTTGCTACGTTTAGAATAGTGCAAGTTACTAATATTATCATTTTACAATGGTAAAAAAATGTTTAAATATGATAATGAATTTGTTAAACGTATATAAAATAAATATAGATAATATAACATTTTTATTTTGTTTTTTATATACGTAAACACAATTTTCTTTTAAATTAACATTTATTATTTATTATAATTTTTATTATTATTATTATTCTTTTTTGCCCTATATATATATATAGACTACTTACACGGACAAAGGTACAAAGGTATGTAACATTATTTTTTACTAATTATATACAAAATGATTTATTTATTTCTTTTTTTCTTGTAGCCTGTTGGTGGAAAATTTTTAAGTTTCGATTATGTAAAATTTTGGGTTGGAAATGCAAAACAGGTAATTATATAAAAATAAATCTTTTATCGTATGACAAACGAAATATACGAACATTAATGTCTTTTTGTATAAAATTCTTCTCTTTCAAGCCCGTAAGAAATTATTTATTATATATTACTTTATTTTTTATAGGCAGCTAGCTTTTATTGTGTAAGGATGGGATTTGAACCACTTGGTTATCGTGGCTTAGAAACTGGTTCAAGAAATATAGCGGCACATGCTGTTAAACAAAATCAGGTAATTATTTTTTACATATTTTTTTTATATATGTATATACATTATATAGGATAATTCACTAACTCTTGCTACCAAGATAGCTCCCAAAGTATGATAATAGCAGAAAAATGTATAGACCAAAAGTAGCATGAAAAATTCGGGAGTATAATACGACGTCATTTTTTTTTGCTAAGTTTAGTCGCTTCTGAGATTTAAAGGTCAAGTTTATTTGTTTAAATGGAATGCTATGTTTTAGTACTTATTTTCTGATAGCGGCTGTCATGGTGAATCCAACGATATGCAACATTAAGGTATTTGAAGGTCAACAAAGGTCGAGTTTGGCGAACCAGCCAGCGACAATACAGCTCCTCCGCGTCAGGGTTGCATCATCCTTTAAGTGTCCGACAAAGGATGGAACAGTCGGACATAGTCAGGTTTGATGAATACGCCGTATTTAATAAATATTTACTATATTTAATGTTGCACATCGTTGGATTCGCCATGATAATATTTTTAAATGTCCTTTAATTAAAATTTCTTTTCCCAGGTTTTTTCTTTGATTGTTTTTAATTATAATAATTCTATCGTGAAAAAAAATAAAAATAGTAAAAAATACATTAACAAAAGTTAATTCTCTTAGATAATATTTGTTTTCGAATCATCTTATGAACCTGGAAACAAAGAAATAGGGAATCACCTTTCTCAGCATGGCGACGGTGTCCGTGACATTGCTTTCACGGTCGAAGACATCGATACTATCGTTATGGTAAATATAAAATTAATTAATTAAAAGAAAAGATATCATTAAATTGTAACTCATAATTTAAAAAAAAAAACGATAGAACATAATATTTTTTGTCTGTTTAGATAGCAAAACAAAAAGGTGCAAAAATTATAAGAGATATATGGGAAGAAAAAGATGAGTTTGGTGTTATTAAATTTGCTACATTGAAAACCGTATGTTATTAAAAACAATGAATAAATAAATTATAAAAAATATAAATACATAAAATTATTATATAGTATATATATATGTATGGATACTAAATTAAAAATTTTTTTAACTAGTATGGAGATACCCATCATACTTTGGTTGACAGAAGTAAATACAAGGGATTCTTTCTACCAGGATTTATAAAAGCTTCAAAAGATGTACTTATTAAACATTTGTAAGTATCATGGCATTGTATGTATAGAATAAATTTTCTATTAATATATTTTTCTAAATATATTTTCAGGCCAACAACCTATTTAAAATTTATAGATCACATTGTAGGTAATCAAGCTGATAAACAAATGGAACCTGTTGCTAAATGGTAAGTAAATAAATTGTATCTATAGATACTTTTATATGTAATTTTTATATTGTTTATTTTAGGTATGAAGAATGTTTACAGTTTCATAGATTTTGGTCAGTAGATGATAGTCAATTACATACCCAATATTCTGCATTACGTTCTATTGTTATGACTAATTGGGAAGAAACTGTTAAAATGCCAATTAATGAACCAGCACCTGGTAAGAAACGTTCTCAAATTCAAGAATACGTTGATTACTATGGTGGTGCTGGTGTACAGCATATAGCTTTAAATACTAATAATATAATAACAGCTGTAAGTAATATTTTATATTGCAGATTTTTTATTTTCCTTTTTCCTTTTCTTTTGATTATAATAATATTTAGTTTGTTGTTTCTGTTTGTTATTGTAGATACAAAATTTACGTGCAAGAGGAATGAAATTTCTTAATGTTCCTGATAGTTATTACGATATGCTTCGAGACCGTTTGAAAAATAGTAAACTCAAAATTATAGAAGATTTAAAAATATTACAGGTATGTTTGCATATACATGATATTTAAAGAAAGTTATTTTTTTTAAATTATGTTAATTAACTTTCATAATAACCATTCAGGAATTAAAAATTTTAATCGACTATGACGAAAATGGTTATTTGCTACAAATTTTTACTAAAAATATGCAAGATCGACCAACTCTCTTCATAGAAGTTATTCAAAGGCATAATCATAATGTAAGTTTAGGAGTAATGGATTTCAAAGATGAATTTAAAATTTTTAAATATATATATATACATATATTTAAATTATATATATATTTAAAATATTTTACACAAGTAGTAGAGATATTTGTTATGTTATAGGGATTTGGTGCTGGAAATTTCCAAGCTTTATTTGAAGCAATCGAACTTGAACAAGCTAAGCGAGGCAATCTGTAATATATATATATATAGTGGAAAATGTTTTTGTATTGATAAATAACAATGAGATTATTATAATATAGCATTTTAAGTATGTTATTACATATATTTTACAATAGATCAATTATATTATTTTGTACAAGTGCAAGCATATGTGCATGTATTGTACATCTTATATTGCATATATTACATATTCATGAATTCCTGTTAGCCGATTATCATATCATTTACTATAATATGCTATTGTAAATAAAATTGAAATGAAAAAGTGTAATAAATATATAATCAGGCAATCAACCCTACATATTAAATTTCTTAATTATTAATATGCATGTGAAAGTTATAAAAGTAGAAAGCATTAGGAAAAGAAATATATTTTTTTTTATAATTTCGATGACATGTACAATGTATTATATCACTATTACGTTAAAGTGCCCTATTAAGAGAGAGACTGCATTTATTAGTAGCATAATATTATTTTGTTAGTATTAGACAACGAAAACAAAAGGAAATTGAAGAAAACCACAATTATTAAACTGTATTTATTCTTAAATGTTTTTTTTCTTTTCTTTTTTTCTTATGGCCAAAATGTAAGCAGATAATTTTCATATAAAAACTGGGATATTTAGATAAAGTGAGATAATATGCAATGACAAAAAAGATAGAGTAATATGAAAAAACCTAGCTCACTTATTTCAACATGTGAATAGTCCATGGTTCAATGAATTGTCTGTAGATAGTTCTAGAGTTGCATCAGACATTTTCTTCATGGACTATCGTGAATGCCAAGGCGAAAAATATCATGTTGACAATAGAAAGAATTTCCCAATGGTTTCAGCACAAAAATTTGTGAGAAAGGATGTGGTGGATCTTCATCTGCCTAAAAAAAAATATTAATATGCGTATTGTCAATAAGCGTGGACAGTCACAATATTTCCTGACGATTTATTGAATTTTTGGTTTTATCGTCGATCCTGATATGTAATCAATATCTCATAAAACAAAAGAAAAAATGAACAAAATGTAGCGGTTGAAACATACAATCTGATATCATCACATTATACAAAGCAAATGATATAACCAAAATTAATTTTATGGGATTTTTTTTTTTTACATATATATTATACAAAGTAAACAATTATATTTTAATGATATTATAATTAAGGAATATACATTTTTTAAAATCGCTTAGTTATATATATTATATAATAATATATAGTTAAATATATATATTATATAATAATAATAGAGGTTAATTTACATAGAAAAGGTTGATTATAGAACTCATGTAAATTAAACATTTTCTACTCGTCTCAGTGAGTACTAACAGATCTTCAAATATCGAACACTTTTTTTTATCACCCTGTATATATAATTATATTTCACATCGTGGAGATATAATATATTATATTCCTTTTACTAAAAAAGGAATAAAAAATGTATAATGCTAATTTAGTGAATAAATAATATAAACAATATAAACACAAGCATATATCAAAATAAAATTGTTTTTGATGTAAAGACAAAAAAAATTATAACTTGTATTATGAAATTACATTTCGTCACTATATTTTATAATTCAAATTAGTTCAGTAATTTAATTTATATATATATATATATTATACATAAAATATATATTAGTATCTTACTTGTTAATGAACACAGTGATGTTACTTTCTCTCTTTCAATTACTTTCTTATTTAGGTATAATATATAATGTCAAAAGTGTTAGTTTTATATCTATTAACTTATAAGACTGTTATTTAGAGGTTGCTAAAATATATTACAACGAGACACTGTATCAGAACATAGAATTTATTGGTCAATATCGATCAAAATTTTATCGAGTAACTAACAATTTCTTCATCTATTTTATACTCTTAAACATTATAGTCAGTTATAGAGTTAATTATACTTCTAATAAATATAAATAACGCGGGAGAAAAATTACGCTTAAATGGTGGCAGCCATGCACTCTTTCTAATGTTGAAACAAGCAGATGTATTAGCACAAAGCAATGACAAAGAATATGTAACATCAGATAGGCTTGCCTTTACCAAAGTATGGAGAGATCAGTGGATGATTGGTACCTGTTGCCTAAACCGTGTCATGCAACGCAAGTCTGAAGATGTCGTGCTGCACGTAAAAGCTGGTGCCGATTGGCTTCAGGACAAACGTCTGGATGTAGGCGTGGGGCTGATCCTCATCAGTCTACCCAATCATCAACAATCACTCACTGAATTTTCTTATATCATCTTCTTTGCAGATGTAGGTACATAGAGAGATAGTTGCTGGATACTAGTCATAGCTCAATGTCTACCTTCATACGGCAGCACAAAAAATGTCAAACGATACAGTATATTCATATTATATCTCCAATCCATAATAAACAATTGAATAGACAGAGAGTTCCAAATGCTAATGGAATTTTCAAATTTAATTTAAGAGTTATTTTCATACGATATTTTGTTTTCAACTTTTTGTTTAAAGTTTTCTATCAAATTTTTCATCGCCTTCATACAATAGACTCTTCAAGTAGGAATACGTATTCCAACTATATTTGGGTAATTTGTGAGATAGGTGTTATACAATATTAAATTACTGAACCAATTATTGAACCAGTTTGAATAAAAAAGATGAGAACATAACATTCTTTTGAATATTATTCGCTCTATTGATGCTCCCAATGTAAGATATTAAAATATAGAATAATAATATAAAATTAGAATGTGCATATATATGACCCATGCCTAAATCTCTGATAAATACTTATTTATAATGTAACATTTATTAGAGATATAGAATAATGTTATCATATATAACCTCATTATTATAATATGACAAATCTTTACTTAAAATTAAATAGAATTAACTCCTATACGCATAAATATTTTAATAGCTGTAATAAAACTTTAACCGAAAAAAAGGCCGGTATAATAAATTTCTTACCTGCAGCCTTCCCAAAACATTTATCAGTACACCGCCATCGAACATAGGCTGTGAATCAATTGCTGTTATCATTCGATTGATTTTTTGAAACGTCAGACTCTAAAAAAATGAAAGATGAAATTGATAATAATTAGAGGTTAATTATTTTATATAACTTTGATATTAATATTATTGAATGTTTAAATTTTTCAAAGCTAATTCTTATTTACATGTGAAAGAATTAACGTATATATATATAACATACATACAGATATAGATATATATATATATGCATCTTACATATGTTTTATATATATATATATACATAAATACAAATGAATAATATATTTTCAGATAATTAGATAATATTGCATATTATTACAAAAATAGAATACTTACAGTTAATTTTTCCATAATTTTAATGGCACCTTGAATTTGGAAACCTTCAAATGTCATAAAAGATGTCTCGGTCTAAAAATATTAAAATAAAATCTTACATTACTGTTCCATTTAACATAATAAACCGAAAAGGTAACGTAGAAAAATCTAATTTAACTTACATTATACATGTTTATTAAGTTTGGTCTTTGGGCTGGATCATCGAACAGCAAATAGTATTGCTGTACAAATCCTTTTCCAATTGCTTCATAAGATGGATTCAACTCCATTACGATAAATCGATTATCTTTGAAAGACCACTAAAAAATACTAGCAAAGTAGACCGTTAGTAGATTTAATCGAGCAACGTATAGAATCTTTAAAAAATATTATACTAAGAATAACGTAAAACTTTCGGACATCCCTCATGCCAGTTATAAGGGAGCAGGAAGCAAGGAATATAAAACTCGAGAGTTAAAAAATCGAACTAAAGAATATTGGTTAAACCGGAAGAAACGTTAATACGTCTTTCATGTGCCTACCCTCTGGCGGGATTAATGGAGAACTAAAATTATTCCGGGTAAACACCCTTTTCTTTTTTATATTACAAATACATTTTTTAATATAATATAAACTTATTATCAATATAAATATCAAGAAAATAAGTTAATAATTTATATACTTAAATAAAGAATTAAAGTGAGTTTGTTTTGGCTATCTCGGTATGAGCCACTTTAAGCTCACTTTATTATGAATATATGATACTATTCAGTGAGCATTATTTGAAAGCTATTCATATCAAGTTTATATTTATCTATATTCAATTCTAAATTGCTTACTATTATCGTTTATCAAAATACAATGTTTTGATTATTGGAAATAATATTATCGTATAAGATAACTAGTGAATGCTTTGTATCATTGTTTATCACGAAAATAAACAATTGAAATTTGTAAAATCACCCATTTAATTTACGATTATTATTATGTAGAAATAATTGATTGGAATAAAATTGAAGAAAGTTTAGTTAACTTATGTTAGTGAATATTTGATATGTAAGTCACAAACGCATACACACACAAAAAACACACACACACATGCAATAGATAGAAGTATAAATTTATATGTAATACAGATAAGTATGAAAACATCATAAGTTAGATCACTCGTCAATAGTGCCTCATTGAGCGTACCGATCCTAATCCTTTATTCGTTCTTCAGTCGACGACACACTGTCCCGAGATGCACACGTGTTTTAATTGTCGCTCTTATTTTTTATTAAAAAATTGTATACCTTTTTTACGGAGTGCTCGAATAAAGTTGGATATATATTTTTGAACTAACTTGAATTCATAATGATAACTTTACGTATGATTTTTTTCTTTGTCATTATCGTTTAATCGAACAAAAAAATAATAATACTATATTAATTTTGTCGAGCAAATTAAACGATAAAAGAGGAGAGGTACGTCGTTGTTTTACTTCACCTTTCTATTGTTATCGCTATCACTGTCGTCATCGTTGTCATTGTCGTCGTGTCGTCATCATTATTATTATTGTCATTGTCTTTTAACGTACTAATCGATATTCTTTGAAATTTATATATCAAATTTTGTGCGTTATTATATTACGCGCGCACTGGAATGAGATAGAACGAATATGAAATTGGCGCCAGATCATATTTGTATATAACTTTAAAAGTTGTATTATTTTATATAAAACAATTAAAACGTTTTTATTAAACAATTAATTTTTTTTTAAATTAAAAATAATGAGTTTCATAGTTATTCTTGCATCATTATCTTTCGCACATGTAATATAATATATATCTATAGATCATTTTTATCGCTTTAATATTATCAGTTATATCAAAAGATTTTATCAAACTGCGTGAAAATGTATTTGATAAGCAAATAGAAATAGATAAATCGTTGAAAAGTTAAATGTAACATTACGAAACGCTTTACGATGCATAAAATAATGTAGGATCGTTAATTTTATCGAGAAAGTAAAGTCGATTGTTACTTGTATAAATTTTTGTTTACTTCGTAAATAGCACGAAATTTTGCGGTATATATGTGCGGTATATCATAAATAGGATCCCAAAAAAATGTTCCAATTTTAAAAAACTGTAATTAAAAACAAGGGAAGTATATCGTGTGGGTTATATTTATTAATATATTTCAGAGAATGAATCCATTTAAATATTCTGATGCAAAAAGCGTAAATTTTAATAAACCAATAGAACAATAATTTTATATAACAACATCGAATTTTTGACACCAAAGAAAAAACAATAGTTAGGGATCAGTTTACCAATTATTGATTATAATTTGGAATTGATTGGTATCTATTGAGACAATATTTTTATTCAAATATTTGTAAATATATTAACTTAGTATATTAAAGTAAAAAATATTATATAGACAAAATAAATGATATTGTACTAACATAGTGGCATATTTAATTATTTATATTGAACAAAATATTCAAATAAATATTTTTTTAGTTTGCATTTATAATTTTATACATCACGAGAGACGTGTCATCTTTGGTAGTTTTGAAATATAAAGGGAGAGACAGGACGAGAATATGATAACGACCGCGCTTTGACCATACCTTATCCTGTCACCGAGAGGATGTGACATCGACGCCGATTATATATACTCAAAACTCTAGTTTATTGTTAGTGTATATCTAAAATTAATATGATTATAAAAGGACGTTCAAAACATTTTTTCTCTTACGATTCAAGATTTAATATTTTCTTGTTTTCTTTATCATAAGAGAATATTTCTTTTATCTTCTTTTTCTATTATACATACATATGTATACATATATGTATATATTACATACATACATATATACATACTGTATTGAGAACTGAAAATGGTAAAGCATGCGCGATTTAAACATTTGTTTATTTTATGAATTATATTATTTACTATCTCTTTAAATTTTTCTTCTAAACTGTTATGCGCGATATATGCATGTATAATAGAAACGAAAAGGCTAACAACTTCATGTTCATTGATATGCGGTACGACGAGCAGGAAACAAGCAACCGGCTTAGTATATAGCCTTGGTACTCTTTGGTTGACTCTACCGGATGCGTCTGTTTTCGGCATAAAAGATGGCGACAATATCCTCTTAACCGTAGATATTAGGTCTACCGGAAAATTCTGTTTGATAATGCCATCCTCTTTTGTATATCCATAATAGCTGCTTCTTTTTAACATTATATTTCTTTTTAAATTTACTGAAACAACGGTTTCAACATCTCAGTATTAAATAAAATTCGTTGTATTTAAAATATATCATTTCCTTGTAATTCAAAAACGGATAGAGTTACCCGATGGACCTAATACATATATGTATATTTTTATTTATTAACATTTTGTGTGTATCTTTTTAATTTAATTATTTAAAAAAAGATTTGCCATTTCTCTCACTTTCGTTCGTATTAAAAAAAAACCATTGAACATGAAATTCATATAAGTTTAGTGTATACACATACGTGATAGAAAAAAATGTATTTGTGAAATTCGATTAAAAAATGATGTTTGTTTGTTATAGGAAAAAAATTAACGAGAAATATGTCACGTAGGAATAAACCAATAAAAATTACTGCGGTCGGAGATGGAATGGTCGGAAAGACGTGCATGCTTATTACTTATACTACGAAAAAGTTTCCAACGGAATATGTGCCTACTGTGTAAGTAATACGCGATAACAACATGTCATGTGTTTACGATTACTCGGTTATTTCAAAATTGGCGCGTAAAACAAGTGACCAGATAAAAGGGCGGTTTTTATGATATTGTTTTCAAGTAATACTTTTTTCAATGATTACTATATTTCAATGATATTATATTTTATATCAATAACGTTTTTTTTTTAGCTTCGACAATTATGCAGATATTATTCGTTTAGATAGCCAAGAATTTGATATAACCCTTTGGGATACAGCCGGTCAAGAAGATTACGAACGTCTTCGGCCATTGTCATATCCAAACGTAAGTTATTTTCGAATAAATTTAAATTACAATGAAAATTTGAAACTTTTAAAAAAGAAAATAATAAAAACTATATTAAGTGAAAAATATTTCATTGCAGACCGATTGTTTTTTACTTTGTTTCTCGATCAGTGCTCGTAGTTCATATGAAAATGTCGCGAGTAAATGGTATCCAGAGATAAAACATCATTGTCCGCATATACCAATAATACTTGTTGGTAAGTCTAATTACATTCATATGCAATAAATATTTTTATATCGTCAAATTGAAAAAAATCGATAGTTCTTATCATAATCTCATTGGTTTTCTTAATATATCATTAGGTACTAAAAGTGATCTCAGAGATCAAGAAAATTTAGATATAATAACGCCACATGAATGTAAAAAAATGAAAAAGAAAATTAAAGCCTCGAAGTACGTCGAATGTTCAGCTGTAAAACAAGAAGGCTTGGAAAATGTCTTTGTAGAAGCCATTAGAGCAGTTTTGAAAAAACCGCCATCTAGAAAACTTTGTTATATTTTTTAAAGAAACCCACAAAAATCCCCATATTATTTATATTTAAATTTATTAACTCAAGTTATATTCACAAGCAAATTCTAATATATGTACATTTTATTACTATCAATCGCGTACTACGTAGAATACTCGATTATTAGACAATGGAAATTTTATCAAAAAAAAAAAAAACATTTTTTAACTATTATTATTATTAACTAATGAAAAATAAAAAAATTTTTTATTTTCAGACATCCGTTTTTTGGTTCTTATTTTTTTTTTTTTAAATTATGTGTATTTCGAGTTACAATAGTTCATTATAAAATTTTATGAATATTCTTTTATATTAATAGTATAATGATAATTTAAATTTTTTTTTCTGATCATAAAATAACTCTACAAATGCTCATTGTATAAGCGTCGAGATAGATGCTTTGTA